GCACACGATCACAGATACAAGAGAATGCAAGTGTATTATACAGAGCGGAGGCATGGAGACCTCCAATCAGCAGCTTCCACGGTGTGCTTGTAGCTTGGCCTTCAGATAGACAAAACAAGGGAAAAGTACTGGCTTCTGCACATTGATAGAATGATGAGTTTAACTTTAACAAAAGTTGCTTCAAAGTGTTATGAAATCTCATATTCCCCCCTCTGGTCATACATTCACGTGTGACCATCAGGATCGATAAACAGCAACATAACATCATAACTCAATACTTCAAAAACTCAAACTCGGTACTTCAAAAAACTCAGAACTCGGAATACTTCAAAAACTCATAAAACTCATAAAACATGTTCAGATCTTTCATAAAACTTGTCAACAATCTTCAGTAAAATACCAAACTTCATCAGTCGATGGTGGTTCCAGATATTGCTTTGAAAACAGTCTCTCCCACTTCTCCGTGTTGTTTCTTCAGGCTGCATTTGTGTCGAGCCATCAATTCTTCTGTGACGTGTCTTTCAATCACACGTTTCAGCTTCAGTGTCCAGATTCAGCAATTCAATTCAGTCCAAATTATGTCCAAATTGTGTAATCCAATTTTTCCAAATCATGTCCATGCAAAAGAGGACGATGGTATTGGCCATGTCTCAGCAGCTCACAGCCTGACTGGAATCAGGGGCTGTGCAGATTGTCCAAGTGTGCTGGTCCAGATGCATTCTCTTGAGGTTTCTCAGTTTTGGCTTAAAAAAAAACACTTTTTGTGTAAAAAAAAAGTAGTCTTCTGTTCTCTAGATCAGTGTCTCCCAAAGTGGGGTCCGCGGCCCCCTGGTGGGCCGCGTGGGTACTGCAGGGGGGCCGCGGGAGGTCATAAAAAAAATAAAAAAATAATATAATTATTTAATGTTAAATTTATAATGTTTTGTTTGTAATATTAAAATATTTGTGTTCATTATTTGACTTGAATAAGCCACTGTAATCATTTTTGTATTACAATGTTTGTAGCAAAGGCTATTTCCCCAAAATAAAATAACCAGAAGAGCCTATTCTTAATGTTGTCTTCTTGGTTATTATTTTGGGGGGCCACGCAGACCCGTCAGATTTTTAAGGGGGCCTCGGTGTTACTGAGTTTGGGAATGGCTGCTCTAGATGTTACAGACAAGGCCCGCATCCTTCCACCACCTGAAGAAGATGACAAAGTCTGGGATCGCGTCTTTAATTCAGACAGAAGACATGTTTTATTGTCGATGGTAGAGACAGCACGAACAAAGCACACGATCACAGATACAAGAGAATGCAAGTGTATTATACAGAGCGGAGGCATGGAGACCTCCAATCAGCAGCTTCCACGGTGTGCTTGTAGCTTGGCCTTCAGATAGACACAACAAGGGAAAAGTACTGGCTTCTGCACATTGATAGAATGATGAGTTTAACTTTAACAAAAGTTGCTTCAAAGTGTTATGAAATCTCATACACATTTGCCATCATTTCTATCACATGAACTGCCCCCAATTCACAGAGCACCAGCCCCTCACTGATCCTCCTGCAGGTGCTGAGTCCACAGGAGGATGGCTGCTCTGTCAGTGACAGTACAGCCTTGATCTTTCAGCGGGGGCTTCAGGCAAAGTGGGATTAAGTGTCTTGCCCAAGGACACAATGACAGCAGACATCAAGAGGGAGAAGGTCTTGTCGAACCCACGACCTTCAGGCTCAAAGACCATTGCTTCACCAACTGAGCCACTGTCGCCCCAACTGAAGTTAATGGCCACACATAATGCATCTATTTTGTCCTGTTGGCAGATAGTTTTTCTTCTGACAACCTAAAATACAACTTAAGAATAGCCTTATTTTTACTACTCATAAATGCCTTCAAACCGGGTCACATAAGTAAACAATCTATCACCTAAATCGAGCATAATATCCTGAACTCAAGTCATTTTAAGCCTGGGTGTTTTGCAGAGCAGGGATATCACACACAGTCCCTTTCTTCATCTCTCGTCCAGATGCAAAGAGCAGTCGTAATCGGATGAGAGCAGATTTGATTCCCCCCTTAAAATCTCCTCGGATTTAACACTTGCCACAAACGGTCTGCGCTATTTCTCGCCCCTCCTCCCGCCTGTTTTTCCTTCCAGTTGTGTGTCGTTAATGCGTGCCCTTTTAATCCCCCAAAACAATGGGGACAAAATGCTAAAAGGCTAACAGAGCTCAAATGTATTACGAGAATCCCTTTCCCATCTGCCATCAAAGGTCAGAGTTTGGGGCCTTGAGTGGTGCTACGTTGGAAATAAAGAACTAAGATCAAATCGGATTATTTTAGTAAAGACCTTCAGCGGTTTGGAGAGGCATGCCTGTTGTAGTTATTGTCATTATTAATTATGAGCCCACCACGAGACTTTCTCCACCGGCTCCCTCTGATGTCTTCTGTGTTCCTGGGCAAAAGACAGAAACCCCACTTTGCCTGAAGCCCCCGTTGAAAGATCAAGGCTGTATTGCCACCAACAGAGCAGCCATCCTCCTGTGGACTCAGCACCTGCAGGAGGATCAGTGAGGGGCTGGTGCTCTGTGAATTGGGTGGCAGCTGATTGCCACCCCCCTGGCCCAGAAATGGACAAAGGGAACAAGAAGGATAAATAAATATTGTGTTACTCAAAGCACTGTGGTGGTAAACTACAGCTGTAGCCACAGCTGCCCTAGGGAAGACTGACAGACCCAGGCTAACATATGCCACACACTCACAACTGACACAATCACTGACACCATTTCGGTGACTCATACACGGCAATGTGGGTGAAGTAGGACACAGCAACAGTCTGACACTTTACAGACGCACCTGTGGCACCCAGAGGTCTCCCATCAAAGACCATCAAAAACATACATTACATACATAGAGCACAGGTTGTTTTGAGCTTCATTCACAATAATATTAGTAAAGCACAACTGACATAATCACTGGCACAGTCTTTCTCGATATTAGTTTGAAAGTAAATGCCCTTAACAATAGAAGTCAACAGCCAGAGACACTAAAAAGCAAATCTCCTTTTGTTCAGTCGCTGCCAAAGCTTTTCACTTCATTCAAATTAGAGGCAAATACAGCAGGTCATGTGTTTTGATAGGGACACATTCAAATAGTGGAGTGGAAAGAGGGGATTGAAGGAAGACACGCAATCTGTAAAACAGCCTCTTTTTATCACCATTTATGGTCTGATTATAGTATATCATTATATAGTTCATCTATAATGATGTCATTTCCTGTCTCTCCAAAAATTGAATTGCAATAACAAAGTTATACATTTTGATGGACTTACTTTACATTACAGTATGGTGCCGAGTTGTTTTTTATATACATTTTGCTGATCCCAACAGAAAATATTTTGGAGAATTCTGAGAAGGAGTGGTCCTCATTTCCTTTTCACTTGTATGTCTGACAGCTGATCTAAGTGGAAAACTAGTGAACATTTTGTGTTTGAAAGTTAGGTTCCCTAATCAAATATACCTTTATCTGGCAGGAGTGCTGCCAGGGTGTGTCCTTTAGTCAGTATCAGAACGCAAAAAGCAAATATTGAAACTCAATTATTATTCACACTCAATACCTTTTTACCAAAGTGTTTCAGGCCTTGGATCTAAATGTTGATCCAACGTTTACCTTGGTAACCTGCATATGCTAAAATGCTTTAGTACTTTTGATGAATTGTCCTCTGTAATAATATTTAAAATCAATACCTTTGATCACTTGTGTTCACCTGAGCTCATTTATTCTCCACGTCTCCATTATGTGATTGATGTCACTGTTAAACTGCTCATTTAATCAGCACATGACTCACTTCAAAAGCCATCAGATCTCATTAGACAGAGAGCGCTCATCCACATCAGGCAGCAGCAGGCGGCCTCTAAAGAGCTCCTGGAATTCATCTTGTGAACTTTGTGGTGTTCCACAATTCACCAGCTTCATTTACAGAGCCATTTACAGACACACTTCTGATGGGCGGCAAACGATAGGATCTCATGGAACTTATTGTTCATTCATTGGATTTAGGTAAAAAAAAGAATTTTATATAATCCTTCTTATTCCATTAATCTGAAATGAAATGTAGTTGATTCTTGTTGCATCTATAATGATACAAAAAGACTGCAGTACATTCATCTTTCTGCATAGTTCCAGGAAAGCTGCAGGAGTTTCACCAGGAATAATCTTTCCTGAAATGTGTTTAGCTGCATACATTTAGGACCCTTTGGAAAACGGTGGTTCATCTCAAATAAAAATTTGACAGATTTTATATTTGGTCCAATTATGTGTTTAACTGTTATTTATCCTGTAACGTCACAGGTTGAGAGGATAATAAAATATCCTTGGAGCTTTTACTGCAGCACACAGCCATTATATGTTTTAATGTTTTGGGACGTACACGTCTCAGTAACAGAAAGAACATTGTATGAGTAAAAGCTACATTTCTATGACATTTTGGGTTAATATACAACAACAATTAAAAACTCAAACAGGATAGATACCTGATCAAACATTTTGTCTCTGTCTTTATAATCCTCATTTTGCTAATTGGAGAAAATTATGCTAGAATTAAAGCAGGGCCAGCCTTCTATCAAGTATCCGTGTTGTCATTGGACTTAGGTACAGGACGGGCTGGTTTGTGTGTATCTTCAGGGTTGGGATGTGTGTCAGATCTTCTGCAGAACAAACAAAGTTAATGTCAAAGTGAATATTCATTTGGCGCAGCATGTGTGCCCAGTCCAGTGGCTTTATACACGTTTGGGAACTTTGCAAAGTAGACGAGCGTTGTTTGACTTGCAAAAGAGCCCTGGGTCTGGAATCAGGGAGGTCAGGATTACAGGCGCGGTAGGAGCACACACACCATCATTTATAGACTCAATGGGAGAAATGACAAGTGCATATTATTGGATACACAACTTGTAATTCAAATATATGTTGTTATTTTTTTCCAGTAATTCCATCTGCAAATTGGTGATTGTGTTTTAAATTCGCCACCATGGGAGAAATGGAGGACTTGAGGAAAGAGGCAGAGAGTCTGAAGGACCAGATCACGGTAAGTACATTTCACACACTTGGAAAATGTATGAGCAATTTTAGAAGCAGTGTGATTTGATTGCAATTTATGCTTTAAAGGTGCATTGTGCATTTTTTTTCTGTTGAGTCCTGCTACCAACTTGTTGTCATGGAGATGTTATTTCTTTGCTGGAGGTCATTTGCTTGTCTGCGATATAGATTCAATTTATTTCATTTTTATATCCTCAAAATTCATAACCACAGTCCACCAACTCATATTAAGGCTGGTCCTCAATTCCAGAGCGCATTCATGAAACAGACAGAGGGACAATGGGTGAATAGCAATGCACAACCTACATTTCAAACATTTAAGTCAAACTGGAAGTGAAGAAGAGTCCTAAGCTTTCAGATGTTTGACAGGTTCACAAACTGTTTGGAATGGTCTCTCTCTGGTCAGTCAATGTATTATGTTATCATTATAATATTTAAAGTTTGATTATAATTGACTTTTGGGGTGCGGTGCTAATAAGATTTTTGCTTCAGCCAACTCCTTATGTGCATTATAATACTGTTCAAATAAATAAATAAATAAATGAAATGGACAGTCGGAAAAATATCTGGTGGATGGATATTCCATCTAAAACAATAAGGTTAAGGTGGACCCAAGCTAATAGCACAGCCTCCAGCATGACTGATTACATTTAACAGATTGCAGATGATTGGATGTTTTAGCCAATAGTGTTTGGCTGATTTTAGCTGATAACTTTTTAAGATAACGTTTGAGAGTCTAGCCCTGTTGTGCTCAAATACAGATTCATTATTATTCGTTTGGCAGCAGGTCACAACCAAATATCAGCTTCTAGAGATTAAGGCCAAAAAAGTGGCATTACTCTTTATATATTTTTCCTTTGTGAAGACTCTAACACAAACTAAATATTCTTAATGTTCCTATGTTCCTCAGTTCTGTGGAAGTGGCTTTGTGATAAAACATGACATTATATTATCGATTCTCTGCAGGCGGCCCGTAAGTCTTTTCAGGACACCACGCTGCAGGACGCATCAGCTTCCATCACAGTCGTGGCACGAGTGCAGTTGAAAACCAGAAAAACACTGAGAGGACACTTGGCCAAGATCTACGCCATGCACTGGTCGACAGACTCCAAGTAACTACCAGTGACTTGCATTGATTATCTTTGAAGGATTATAAATGAAATCCTTTTTTTTCATTATGTGTGATTAAGTATATTTCACTATCTTTAGACACTTTATCTCATGATACAAACATACATTTGTAGTCATTGTTGGCTGAAAGTAAAGAATAAAATCAGAGGTTATAAATCCGTTTTCTTCTTTCTCATTTGAACTTTCCTGGTTTCACTTCACAAAGTGTTTGTGATTCTCTGCAGGCTGTGTGTCAGCGCCTCACAAGATGGAAAACTAATCGTGTGGGACACAATCACAACTAACAAGGTAAGAATATGTCATAACTGCTGGTCAAAGCTTGATCTCATATTCTAAGACGCTAAGCAGTGCAGAGCCTGGTTAGTGTGGAGATGGGAGACCGATGTACCACCATGGGCCACAGTGAGGCGCTGTGGCTCTTGTGCAAACTGTTGTGTTGTGATGTTGTTGTGTGCTAGGCACAACACTTCACACACATTGTTTGGTGTGGTGGTGCTCAGAGAGGCCAGGAGCACAGATTTCAGCCCTGTCAGTCTGCCCCAGGGCAGCTACACCAGTAGTGCTTCACCACCTGTGTGTGGAACACAGCACCTCTGAGCATCCAACAAAGCGCCCGCAGAGATAGTTTACAGTCCATATCGAGTGGCCTGTCCGAGTGGCCTGTCCGAGTGGCCTATCCGAGTGGCCTGTCCGAGTGGCCTATCCGAGTGGCCTGTCCGAGTGCTGACATCACCCATAGTTAGCCTTGATGCAGAAGAGGCCGATTTGAATATAAGCGATCGGAGCCAATCTCCTTATATGGGCATTTCTTTGAATTCGCTTTCAGCCATAACAGGGATAGACGTGTGACACAGGACGTTGCTTTTAATTTTGTATGACTCATATCAGAATTATCAAACTCTCATTGAGAGAGAAAAAAACACAAATATTTATGCCCAAACTAGTTAGTGTGACACAAACTGTCACAGCTGGAGGAGTTTTTCATTCAGAGTGAGTGGGAGAAAAACTTTGTCCATGAGTACTTCCCTGTTGGGCTTCATTGAGCTCGGGGGTTAGCATTTTCCATCTGCATAAGTCTATTCATTTATTGATGATTATCTTTTCATAAGAACAACTTTTCTGTTTTCTATCCTAATTATCATTTATAAATCCTAAACAAACCTTGTGTAAATGAAATGTGATTGTCCGGTAGGTGAACGCCATCCCGCTGAAGTCGTCGTGGGTGATGACCTGTGCCTATGCGCCGTCGGGGAACCTGGTGGCCTGCGGAGGTTTGGACAACATGTGCTCCATCTACAACCTCAAAGGGAAGGACGGCAACGTCAAGGTGATGAGGGAGCTGGCCGCACACAACGGTGAGAGTCCACTTTCTCTCTCTTTGCTTTCTCCATTATCTTCTAAGTACAGTATTTGTCATTTGTGGAGTTTTACTTTCCCAGAATTAACTTATTTAACCAATTGCACTTTGTGTGTGTAGGATACCTTTCCTGCTGTCGGTTTCTCAGTGACAGTGAAATCATAACCAGCTCTGGAGACTGCACCTGGTAAGAGGAGAGAACATGCAATAATGAGACCAAATGGCGCAATTCAGTTCTGGTTATTGGCAACATAACTTGTTAGTGGACAGTAATGCATTCAAAGACCAACTGTTACATTCCCTCATCATACTATGGTCAAGACTTGTCATAATCAAACAATTATTGGAACAATATCTGAACTCTGAACATTGTAAAGCGCTTTGGGGGACCTTGGTCTGTAAAATGCGCCATACAAATAAACATTACTTACTTACTTTTACAAAATACATTTACCGGTGAAACTTGAAATGTTAAAATATCATTCAAACATTTTTTTTGTTCTGTAATTTACCTTAAAGTGTGAAACCAAAATTACTCGCACATGCAAAGTGACGTATGCAAAGCCATATGTGCCATGGATTTGTGAACAATATTCTAATTTTCCAAGTTTCCCCTGTACAAATATATACTTCAAACATTAGTCAAGATAAACACTAAAGAAAATATAGAGTTTGGTGGCAGGGTCCCATTAACTAGTCTCAGCTGTGATAGCGTTACTATGACAACTTTAAACGTACTGGTCACATCTCCTCACACAGAAAGTTCAGAAAGGAAGACATTTCATAGTTTGGAACAAAACAATATTCTATCCATAGAGACAAGTTACAAAGTCCACTGTTACAATTACTTGGATTTGGTCCATGAATGTGATGTCACCACCTGCGTCATTGAGCAAAGCACTTCCATCACTTCTGGATGATCTCATGATTCCTGTGTTTCTGTGTACCTCTAACCCTTACCCAGCATGCTGTGGGACATCGAGACGGGCACCATAAAGACCACGTTTGCCGGGCACCAGGGAGACTGCATGTCGCTGGGCGTGTCTCCAGATTTTAAGTTCTTCATCTCTGGAGCCTGTGACTTCACGGCCAAACTGTGGGACATCCGCGAGAACCAGTGCAGACAGACGTTCTCAGGGCATGAGAGCGACATCAACGCCATCGGGGTGAGGGGCATTTCAACTCTCAATAAGACACTGGATACCACTGAAACTATGTAAATGTAAATTCTGTGGTCCACAAACAAGATTTGCTAATTATTCACAATTCTCACTTGGAATGAGGTAAAAGAAGAGGGCTTTTCGTCACACTTATCAAACACACTATTGTTTTTGTTTTTGAAAGATAAAAAATAAATAACCATACTTAAAGGAGCAGTATGTAAAAATCTGGCCAAAAGTGGTACTGCAACCTCTTCCACTCCCCCTGACTCAGGTTGCCAGATATGCAGACAAATCCAGCTGGGACCATAATATCTGAATAGACAAGAGATTTGTCAACAAAAAATCTAAAACAAACACATTTTTCGCAAAGATGCATGATAGAAATCTTCATTTAATTAGTTAGTTTATGATTTGAGAATCATAACAAGACCTTTTTTAGTTCTTCGGCCACATACTTACTTACTGACTATACCAGTGATTAGAGATTAGTTTGACGTTTCTGATTGACAAAACGGTGGAGGGCAGTACATCGAAATGAAAACAATAACAAGATTTAGGGGCTGTAAAACTAAGAAATTATGCCACACTTAACAACAGTGCAGCAGCATGGTTCATTTAAGGGGGATCTACAGATTAGATCCAATTTTCACATTATATTCAGAGTCAATTGGCTCTGAGCATAACAATAAAGAAAATGTAGGTTTAAGGGACACAAAGTTTAGATACCCCGCCTTTACTGTGAAGAGTAACCCGGAAGATTAGAGTAGAGTAAATAATTCTATTTTGTGCCAACAGAAAGTGTCATTTAAAAGTAAAATGTTGTAATTAAATCAGACCACTAATTGGTGTCTTTTTATCTTCTCACAGATTTTTTTTTTCCAAAGATACATGCATGTAAAAACTTTTTATAGATCCAAACTGTTTTATTAAGAGTGAGGGACTAGTTAGATTATATAACAAAGTTAAATTGTTATGTTTTGAAGTGAGGTTTTCCAGCTTTAAAGTAAAATTATATCACATTGTTGTGTTCAAAGAGAAGAAACCTCATAATAATCTGTGTCTTTGTTCTTCTCTGTGCAGTTCTTTCCAAATGGGAACGCTGTGATCACCGGCTCGGACGACGCCAGCTGTAAACTGTACGACCTCCGCGCGGACCAGGAGCTCATCACGTACCAGGACTCCAGCATCATGTGTGGGGTCACCTCTCTGGCCCCGTCTCTGTCCGGGAGACTGCTGCTGGCCGGGTACGACGACTTCAACGTCAACATCTGGGACATGCTCAAAGCAGAGAGAGTTGGTGAGTGCATCGGTGGGAAATCAAAAACCTATCATTCAGGTAGGCCTTTAAAAGATCCTAGTTTATGCTTCAACATTTGGACAAAGCTACTCTGTTTTGGGCAAAGATTGTATTATTTTTTTAACACCACAATGAGCTGAGTGGAATTGAAGGCACAAACTCCATGCACAAAGAGGGAAGAGAGATGTTGTCTCAGGGCAAGAGAGGTGACCATTATTGATAATATGATTTTTTTCTTTTTGGGATGTTTTTTTTAGGAAGATGTATGAGCACTAATAACATGAATCAATTGTTTTGTGTTGTTTTATTTTATTGTAGGCCTTTACCAAATGCTTGAGATGCAGTTTCATTATAAAAGTGCCTAAAACCAAGCGAGATATCCCAAAGAGGTGTATTTCAGTTCAAGGATGCTTCCAGTCGATATAATGACCCTAAAGGTGATCTACCAAATGGTCGAGGAAATCATTAAAGGGTTAAAGTGAATGTTTTTGAAAATGTGGATGTAACCCTGCCACGCTGAATGGCCAAATAGATGTCACCTCCTTGTATAGGTATATTGAATATTGTGTTCACTGAAAAAGCACTTTATCTGATGATTATTCATTCTGTCCAGAGCCTATGCTGCTGATACATAATAACTGTTGTAACCATTAATATTTACTGATTCTGAACGCTTTTGTTAATACAAGAAAACATTGTATTATCTTAAAAAATTAGGACAATTAATATAAAAACAGATCTTGTTGAATGTTCTAGTCAGACTTTCATTTATTTTCTAACATGTGCACAAAATCCGGTTTGAATTCTGTTGTGTTTGTGCAGACAAGTATTTATGTAGTGTTCTTTAGATTTCCTGGCAGTGGGTTTGTCTGTTTGCATGAACAGGGGCTCTGACCAGACACTTTTCATACAGAGGGCCGGTTCCACTGTAGGGTTTACTTTAGAGTTTCTTTGGACACACCCATAGGCTTTAAAGATTTAGGTCTTTCTCATGAGAACAGTGCACAACTTTGATACTTTGTCTTTTCACTCCACTGACAGATTGTGTTGTAACATCTCACACTTAAATGGGAGCAAGCTTCAAAAGGTTCTGCTTCATTTAGAATAACTAATACTTGTTACGCCAAGGTCGAGTTGGCTCCAGAGTAAGATTGTCAGGAAAGAACAGCAGTAGGTCTCCAGATAAAGATGTTTTTTTCACAATACAATTTACAGCAACTCAGCAGTTTTTTATGTTGTCTTAAACTCTGTCCTTTGTTAAAGTTCATTAAATGTATGTATGTCTGTAGGTAATAAGCTCTCATTGTTAGTACACTACACTTATGTATGGGCGTGGGGTTTTTTTCTTCGTTTTTTGTCTGTTATGTCCATATCTATATTCACTTTTTGATTCAAACTTTGAATTAAAAAAAGTTTAATTTCACGTTGTGTGGAATGTGTTTCAGGGGTTCTGGCCGGACACGACAACAGGGTGAGCTGTATCGGGGTGTCCTCAGATGGGATGGCCTGCTGCACGGGCTCCTGGGACAACTTTCTCAAGATTTGGAACTGAGGCGGTCGCACAAACCCCAGCGTGGATTACCCGGGTCTCGAGTTCTAGAACAGCCTCTGTTTAAACACAAGAATTTTGCTGTTGTGCCAAGTCCATCCAATCAGACCAGAGCTGTTCTTTTATGTCTGCTCTATTTTTGGCAAAATTTAAAACCTCAGATGTCGATACTGTGGGCATCTTTTCAAACTGCCATTTTAAAAAGCATGCACTTACATAATCTCATTTATGGTTTATTTGCCTACTTTCCAGCCCGAGGTTCCATGTTTTGAAGTAATTTATTTTAAAGGAAGGGAACACTCACTGCAATCCGAATTTCTGTTATAGGACCATCACCTGCAGACATGAAAACTGTTGCCAAACTTGGTATGGTAGCACTCTGGATGACTTGTAATTGAATGGGTGTATAATACAGAATCACTGTAGCTATTTTAATTATTCAATTGTTTTGTATACAAATGTGATTGGAATTTTCTGTGTTAAGGTAGTTATCAAGTTTTTCTTATTTATTAATCGCCTTTATATTGACCCTTACAACATATTTATCTCTCTTTGGATTTGTTGAGCCAATTGTTAAGGGTTGTTGTCTCACTTAAATTAATATTAAAACCTATGCAATCTTGTAGTTCTAAAGCACTGATTGTTAAAATGAAAAAAAAAAAACTATAATCATGAGGCAAAAAGAGCAGTAACCACTGTCATTAATTTGGACCATTTGTGTTACATTTAATAAATGAAAAGGCCAATATACAATGTGTCTGACTATTTCTTCTCAAAATTACAAAACATTATGCAAGCCAAGACTAGGGTGAACAATTTTGAGGTAGATTTGAAAACCACACTTGTTCCTTGGTCACTTTATAATAATTCACAAATTAATGTTTGGTCATAGTTAAATTACAGAGCAGGTTTGTCACCCATAAAACATAAACCAGACCCATGGAGTAGCCAATCAGCTCTCAGCACATAAGAGTGACTGAGCAGGAACTTTGCAGCACTTCAGAAGATTTGACGACAACGTGGGTCACGTTTCCAAGACTTGAAAAACGTCAGACTACAAGAACTATCAGTTAGAACCCTGGCAGCACAAGGACTTGAGTTTGCATATTCTTCTTGCGTCCCCTCGCACAGATGCTGATGTATTTACAGTACTGTTCATTAATCACATTCAAATAAACACTATCATCTCCTGATGAACAAACTTGAGCGCTGTTCTGTAAGCCACAAACATACATTACTATATTGTTTCAATGCAGATGAACACATGTCAAAACATAAAAGGGCCGGGCCATAAAAGGCAAATTTAACACAATTTGGTTACAGACAAAATGTCTGCTACCAATAGAGCGCAATGACTTTTGTGATGCAGCACTGGGTGAAAAAAACATTCTCTACACTTTTTTGAAGATAATACAAATAATTAAATCAAGATGTTAACAAGCAACCATTAAGTTAAAGCAAACAAAAAGTCTGTACACATTAATTTATTTCAGGGGAGAGAAGGTGACAGTATACAGAGGAAAGAACTTCAAAAAACAGGTAAAACTGTACATACATAAACATATATACATACATACAGCACATAAAAGCATGTCTTTATAAAAGCAATAGGTTTCAGGAATTAGTTTTCTTTGTCGACAGCGACAGATATAACTCTGCGTTCACCAAGAGCGCTTCTGCGGCCTTCTGGAGTGGACGTCTTCAGCTTCATCTGCAAACAGGAACAAGCAGAAATTACATTTGGTTAACGTCTACATTTGAGAGCAGCTCACTCCAAAAATGTTTGCTGTTGACTTACAAACTATTCTTTAGCAACATGACTGAAAATTAACTATTGTGCAAATTAACTTGTTTTAAAAGTACATTTTTACATGGGTACACAAGTCATGGATTACACATTACCGGAGCACGTCGAGCCTGGGGAGAGTTTGTCTCTTTGAGAGTTTGCAACGGAGAACGACCTTCACTGGCTAAAAACAAACACAGAAAGGTTTATATGAAACTTGCGAACAGAGGGTGGCATCCTGCATAACTTACACTTTATAAATATGTTGGTCAGTACAAATGGAATAATCACTTCAAAACATCAGAATCCTTTAGCCTTGTGTTTTTCCCCTCAAATAAATATGTTATAATTTTGCATTAGTAGAGTCAGCCCTTGTCTTTATATTATATTCACGTAAACTGAGGAGGGTTCGGGAGCCTGATAGAAATGCCTAAAGGGCTGCAACTGGCCCGCGGTTTTCCCACCACTTTGCTAGTGGGAAAATGTATTTTATACTTGATATTCAATAACCCATGTAACATAAAATATTACAAGAAAGTAAATTGTAAAGTAAATTTATGTCAATTGAATTCTTGTTGAGGTCATCTTATAATTTGTCCCAAATCAAATAAACAATTTTGAGAGTTCACGTCAATGACAAGGCTCATAAAACACATATGTACATAACCTCACGCACACTCACCTTTTGACTTTGCTTTTCCAGTGTGTGCTTTATTTTCATTAGACACTTTCTTCACGGCCACCTGCAGAGCAAGAGGCGAGGAGCCTCCGTTCCCTCTGACCCGGTGTCCTGCTCCGCCAAAGCCCTTCCCCAACCACTGAGGCTTGAACACAATCTGACTGGGGCTCTTTGGATCGATGGTGGGGCAGCGGACGTGGAGCGGACGAGGGACATCACTTTCAGCTTTGGATTCTTCTGAAGCAATAGACTTCTCTACCACTTTATTTATGTCTGGTAAACTTTGAGCCGCCTCCTCCTTTGACTCACTAGATATTTGGGCCACAGCCTCTGCCTCCTTGTCATCAACCACACTTTGCTCGACAGGGGATTGAATTGCAATGGAAGGAACTGCATATGAATGATCCTCCTTGATGAGCGGGGTTGAATCGTCAGCGCAGTCTGCGTTCGCAAAGCTGTCGGACACACAGTCGTAGATTTGTAAGGAAGTGGAACCTTCGTGGCAAGCGATGAGGCTCATGCTCAGTCTTTTGTGAATTGGAGTTTCCCGGGCCTCCTCCGCCTCCTCGAGACTCATGTCCGGTTCAGTTTCGAGCTCGACTTCCACCTGGGGATGTGGCACGTTAACAAATGGGCTGTTTGCGGTTTGAGCAGGAGCCATGGTGGCATGTGCATCAAGGGAGCCGATATCAGAGGGCTGTGGGGGCAGAAGGGGCTCTGTGGAGGCCATCTCCTCTGGTTTGGATTCTTCTTCTTCCGCTGCTACTGAGGCGTCAAAGTCGTTTGGTTCGGCTTTGTTCTCCAACTCACTGTGGAAGAGCATGCCCAGACGTCGCGCAAAGGTTCCCACTGTTGCTGTGGAGAAACAAGACAATCTGTTGAACCCATTTATTCAAACATTCTCAATAGAAAAAAAAATAATACAAACCACCACTTAACCTACAGCCGCTGTCTCATCACACATGGTTATACAATAATAGTAATAACAGATTTCAAAAACATGAAATTTGATTGCGTTTCTACTATTCTGAGCTCTTCCCAAAAAATGTGCAGAGTTATAAATCATTATTATGCCAAATGTAGAGATTTTATTCTTTAGATGCAAAAAGGTATAACATCTCTATCTTTAACATAAGAGTTAGAGATTTTACTGTATTTTAATTAGTATAGTTATTGTTCATTTATCTCATGCTGTGTGCTTCTCATTCCTACTGTTCTGTAACTTGTGATGCAACACTGAAATTTCCCCACTGTGAGACAAATAAAGGATCTCTTAATCTTAAAAGAAAGCATATAGGCCAATTTCTTAATCCTCTTGGCAGCAGGAGTCTCCCAAAAGCCACTTTCTCAAAGGTTTCTGCAGAGTTCGTAATGTGTTTTGTGAAGAGCCAAAGGTTTCGAAAGTATTGCAGCTGCAGTGGTTACCTCTCACGACTTCTCTGACCGGTGTTCGACTGATGTCAACAGAAGGAGAGCGAGGATCTGTCTCTGTCAGACAAACATTTCGCACCTGGACAGAACTTTTACCTGCAACACCAAGCTTCAAAAACAAAACAACATTACATTGTCAGTCAAGTCACTCTTTAACACACCATTAAACTAACACACTTTAAATGGTGACAGGTTAAATGAGACAGAACAGATTGGATTACATACATTGTTAAATCTACAGACAATCTGTATCGTGTTTAAGGCAAAAGACAAAGACCCATTTAATCGTAGTACTTTCCAGTAATGAACTATACATCAAGTCATCATTGTTCTTCAATCTAGGCCTCGGTCACAATTCACATATTGTTCAATAGTTTAAAACAAAATAATATTGAACTGTATTGCAATGCAATTGTATTTTTTCTTCTAGAAATTCTCTGTTGAGGTTTAATTCCATATAATTCATTCAATCTGTTGATTTTTCCCAGTGAGGCATTTTATGACTAAACTGTGGAGAGGCCTTCAAATCAGTCACTTATTGATCTGCTGAGGCAAGGAGTACCCAATTCTTCCAATAGTTTTACATCAAGCGAGTGTTGGGAGAAGTTAACCTAGGTCCACTGTGGGACTTTGAAGTGCATGTAAAACAATATTCCCCTCCTAGCATTATACTATTTGATTTTGCTTATGGATTTTCAAACGTTTCAGTGTGGCGTCTGCTGCAGGTAGGGGACTCATACCTGTATGGGAGTGCGGTCAATGCCCACTGAGGGAGAGCGTGGGTCCAGAAGTTCCTGTACTCTCGTGGCTTTAAAGGGGAGCTCTGGTTTGATCTCCACAGCGAGCTTGCTCTCACTTGAACCCATTGTGAGAAACTGCAAGAAAAATACATGTACTAAATGAACTAAATGCATGTTATTCACACAATAGTGGACAGGCAGACAGTAACTTTGATCAAGACAGCTTATTTAAGAGGTCAATTAGAAGGTAAACTTGCACAAATTTGATCAAATTCCATAAGCAGTTTTTAATCCTCCCATTCTACTCGGCAGTCACTCTTGTTCTTTTTGCAGACCAAAAGACGATTGTGAAGTAAATGGAAGAATATTACTTGAATTAGTTAAAATACCACATATAATCTTTACTAATGTAATCTTGTCAATGATCATTTCAGGCTACCCCGAAAATAGAACATGGTTTGGTGAGTAACATCTGGAAATAAAATGTCTAAGCAATCGTCAACAATTTCCTACCCAAGCTAGTGTAAGGTTTGTATACAAATGTAAGAAATACACCAGGTCTAGAGAGGTAAACCTACCAAATAGTGAATTGTTTAACGAAAGAAAGAAAATGTTAGTTTGTTGACTATAGCTAAAGCTAGCTATTTAGAACAACCATATAAGAACTAAAGATAACACCAACTTTTAACTCGTGAATAAAGACAAAATAGATGAGCGTACCTTCAGAATAACCACGTGTGGAAAGATATGAGGTTCTCTTTCAGCAAACTAAAAAGTTCTGAATGCAACAGACAGTGAACAACGAGGAGCATTTAAAACATTTAAATGGCGGCGCTGCATCCGTGTTATTTTTGAACTGACCAATCAGCGCACATCTTCAACACGCCCTCTTGGCGCTGATTGGCTCAACAGAACAATGTAGGCGGTGCTCGTGCGCAGATAAGTTTTGAATGTTGAAAATGCGTCACGTGTCTGTTTTATGATATTTCTGTTTTTCTGCTGCGGCCAATTGAAAGAGACCATTGTTTTTACTCATGGGCGCGGACCACACACACCACCAAGTACCAAGCGAGAACTAACGACTTTAAGCGTTGCTAGTTTTTTGATGTAATGTAAACCTAAATATCTAGTCAAGACAATACAGAATATAGAACGGACCAGTACTTGTAAGAAATAATGCAGGGTTGTGTTTGTTGTTACAAATCATTTTAAACGGATGTAACAAAACAGATGTTACATAATTGTCTGGTGCACATTGGGGTACTTATGCACATGGATTCCAATGTGGCAAATAAAATTAATCAGAATTAAATATGATATCATTGTCACCACACTAAATTACTAAATATTTGTACTGACAAGTTGGCCTAGTCCTGGAAGCAGCCTACTGTTTTGCACTCGATCGCACCCCTCTTAAGTAAAAAGCCATTAAAACAAAACATTTGAATCAACATATATTGCTGAATTATTTAATAAAACATTGTCAGGGCAAAAAATACCTGAAAACATTAGTGCAATAAGTTGTTACAATACACAATTATCGCATTACATGGGATAATAATGAAGCAAAAATACCTTACAAGAGCAATATGAAAAAATAGGTGACCCAATTACAAAACAATTACTTTGTTTTGTAGATTGTAACCCGTTGCAGATTCATCTCAAAAGCATATAAATTAAACAGCTTGATTACAGTCCATTCTTGGCCAGAATAATTGGACAACATAACTGGAAATGTTCAGCTTTCTATGAATACTACTGTATAATATAATATCATGGTGGCTGTTGTTTTCCCCAATAACAATGCTATACTGATTGTTAGGGAAATGAGTGGTGACCTCTCAGCATTTCAATAACCACAAATATAATGACTTGGCTCTGTTCATTGCATTTACCTTCTTCATTGAGGATACAGTTGAAATTAACTGAAGTCATGCGATGGTCTGAGAAGAGATACAAACGAAGCTTATGTTTGTCCGATCACAGTGAGTCCCAGTTTCATCCTTTGCTTCTTCTCAATAGCTTTTTAGGCTGTAATGCAGTTCTTTGGAGAAAGACAATAGGGCTTGGCTTGTAAAGCACAAACCCTAAGTTTCCCATTTTGTGAAGGTGGCACACATTTCAGCCTCATAGATGACTATAGTAACAAAGGCAACAGCTTAAACTAGGTCCAGACCAAGTCAGCTCACTGAAATAAAGCAAAGCTATTCGTCCAACCAGCTTCATGGGCTGTATCAGTATTCAGGAAGGAAAAAAAGTGACTGGTAGCTCCAGATTTTGTCAAGTGAAAAGGAACAGTATGTAGTCTTTCTGGTAATTTCTGGTTTCATAATGTTACTACAAATACAAGCATCAACACTGGGGCTCATTGCGTTCTGAGAACCAATTTACTCCAGTGAGGTAGAGACCAAACCAGCTGGATTTCTCCGAAGCAACTGGCAACCCAAAAGAGAACGATGTGGTGATAAATCTGCTTTATGATTGGATAATCAGCTTGGGAACCCAAAGGCCACAGACGATTTGAACAGGTTGACCTGGTGACTGGCAGCAAAAAAACAAACTGGATAACATGTTACATACTGTCCCTTTAACACCTTCATAATACGTTTTCATTGACAAGGCTATAGGAAGGAGGTGTTTCTTATTATTTCAGATGCAGCCATAGTAGACCCCTCTGCTCCAGCCACCGTTTACTCTTGGTTTCGTCCAGGTTTGGATCAGTCTTCAGTCCCAGTTCAGTTGTGACTTTGTGAACACATCCCTTAACTTCTTTTCTGCTCACATTTTTTAGAAACTCGATCCAGATTCAGTACCCAAACATTTCCCATAGAATAAAACGCATTCACACTCAATTGTCCCTCCTCCCTGTAGTCCTCATTCAGGCGCTCCTTCCACCTCTCGCGGGCAGAAGTGAACGAGCAGAGTGTCCAAGTCCCTCCGGTCTGCTGCACCGTACAGAGAGCTCTCTCCCATCATGCTCAGAGCCATGCGCAGAGTGGACCAGATGTTGTCAGACATCAGGGCAGCTGCAGCCACTCCCGGGCCCCTTGCCGCCCTTGCCCCGTCGCCTGCGGCCTGTTTCTGCAGCGACAGAGCCTCCAGGAAGTGCTCCACAGCCTCTCTGTGGACACAGTGAGTTTTAAGAGAACCACTTGTAGCTTACTAATGTAAAAAAAAAAAAAAATTACAACTCAACTGTGAGGGTCTTAGCTAATGAGGTTTAAACCAGGCGATAATAAACTAAACATCGCTGAATGAATGACATTTTCTAATAGTACAACTGTCCAGACATAGTCACTCTTTGGCTGCAGAATCTGAGAGGAACCTGAGGGCTCTTCATTTGAGCCAATAGAGTTAATGTTATCAGGTGGATCTAGAGTTAGTGTCTAGACTCTAAATACTTGCTATAGCAATTGAATTATCATTCAGTAAACTTTAATAATATATAACACATACGCTCTTCGGTCAAAGATATTTAAAATACAAACTCAAAAAACAAATAAAACACATAATGTCTTTTGACGAGGCGGCATATTTATAACCTTCAGCCTTTCGGGGGCCTCCTTTGAGTTAATAACCATCACAGATGCAGTTACCTGTGTGCTCCTAAATTGACGCAGCTGATTCCCAGATTGTAGCGACTGCGGACAAAGCCCGGCTGCAGCTCCAGAGCTCGTCTGTACGCCGCCACGGCTTCTTCTGAGCGACTCCCATTGGCAAGTGTTGCACCTAGTTTATTCCACAGCAGGTAGTCCTGTTCCAGAGAAAACAACTTATGTAGTTATACAAACACCTCCAAAGGCCAAAAAAAGTCAAAATAAATAAGATTTTGTAGTTGCCTTGTGGAAAGAAGAGAATAGTTAAAAAACAACAGACCTGTGGGGTCACAGACAGAGCTGCGCTGAAACAGTCCACTGCTTTATCATATTCTCCGCTCAGGTTGAAAAGAACTCCTAGCCCGCACTGCAGCTGAGGGTCCACCTCAGAGGGGTCCGAGTTCGCCGCCTGGAGATACATGGACTGCACTTCTGTAAACAAGGATCTGAGGAGGAAAAGAAAAACATTCTAAATGGCAGGTAATGGTCCTAAATCTGGACATTTCAGCGCTTCACTCTGTGGTTCATTTCTATGGTCCATTTACAATATGCGTAATATTACCATAATAAATATATTTACAGGAACAATTTATCACATTGACAATTAATGTGAACACAAGTGGCTTTGATCCAGACCGAGGTGGAGGAGGAGCACGCCTCACTCAATTATTATTTCTTTTGGTTGATTGGAGCAGTAATCCTCATCACAGTTAAAATGATAATCTGGCACTCACTCAGGCAGCAGAGAACCAAACGCTTCTCTCTCTTTGCCCTTTTCACTGGCTCTGGTCTTCTGCTCCTGCTCGCTCTGGCCCCAGACAGCGCTGTATTTGGGGTTGTGTCTGAGCCAGTCCCTCAGCGTCTCACAAGCCTGACGATGGAGAGACTCATTTGTGAAGCTCACAGCGAGAGCCATGAGAGCAGTCAGGTTGTCCTTCTTCAGCTCTATACACCTGTGAAACAAACATTTTTTTTATGTTAATGCTGCAAAAATGTAAACATCGAGGACAGAAACCTATTTTTAAGGTATATTGCAAAATCAAAGTGCAAATCTCAACATGATTAGGATGGACACCGACAGTGTAGACACAGAAAGTTTCTGAGTATACACAAAACTGCAGATTGGGATTTTGCGAAATGTCAGTTTTATTCATATGTGAATGCGTACTGTCCGGGGGCTGCCCTCACTGAAACATGTAGAGCTGGACTCACACAATTATGGCATAAAGTACATACATTATGAGTACATCATGACATATTTATCTATAATCCAGTAGAATGTCTTTCTTTCCACATGCTGCTATGGAGACTTTTTTGTCCTGAACCGGTCAGGTATTGACAATTGTCTGCAGAGGAACTCTGGACATGGTGCAATAGCGGCACAGAGGCATAGCGGTTAGCGCTTGTGCTTCACAGCAGGAAGGTCTTGGGTTCGATTCCACCTCTGGACCGGGGATTCTGTGCCCTGGTTTCTTGTTTCCTTATCACTAAACCCATGTACAATGGTTCATGGTGGTGATATTGATATTTGACATGATATTTTTGGTCATGATCATCATACCAGCAATGACATCTTATATTATAGCATTCCATTTTTATATAGGAACATTAGGTTTCCGTATTGGATTTCTCAGGTAAGAGTTCAGCAGTAATCATTAGGTCTATTTAACACATCAGCTGCAAATGAAACAAAAATGTATGCGCTCTCTCTCACCTGCGGAGGGCGCTGATAGCTGCAAACTCTTGCTCATTTTCTGCTTGACATGTCCCCAGATATTGCCACGCCTGCAGGTCAAAACAAACAATACATGAAAAAGGAAGAGAAGTGACATTACTATAATCACACAGAATGCTTGTCACCAGTTGATTCTCTGGTTCTTTCTGTACAGCACTTTCAAAGAAGCGAACAGCCCCAGGGATGTCCCCTGCCTCCATCCTCTTCACGCCCTCCGACAGAGGGTCAGGGTGTGTCAAATAAGGATTTTCTTCTTCAAACTGGTATCCCTATAAAAATCAATCAATAAAAATCATGAACCAAATGTTTTTCACGATTTACAACTTGATGTAATGCCAAATGTTACAAAAAGGTTCTCTTATCTTATTCTTAATATTGTGAACTAATCCACGAGACACATATATGGAAATAAGTATGAAGTCACCCAGCAGATGTAAATTCTGTCTAAATACTAAACTCTTTTCGGCACAAGTGGAATACAAGTATGTTAAACCATGAAGATAATTTAGTTTTTGACCTTATCATAGGAGGAGTTGAGGAGCTGGTCGAAGTCCGATAACCAGGGGTGGCTCTCTGCGTCCCGCTTGGCCATCTCCTCCCACTCCTCCTGTAGCTTCTCCCAGAAATCCACATCACTCTGAGACAAAAGACAATATAATCAAAAAAGGAGAAATACTGGCAAACTCGTCATTGAGCCTTAAACCATGATACGACACTGTTTTTTTCTTCTTTCTGACTTTTAAAATGAAAAAAAAAAGCATTGCCTTCAAATTAGTTTAGGAATTTCTTCATTCAAATATCCTACTCAACAATATAACCAAAGTAATTGCATGATTACAAATATGTAGCGCCTTGTTAGATGTTTAGTGCGTTTTCTCATCCTGACAGTGTCTTAATCCAATATATATATGTGTTTATATCTTTCTATGCATTTTACATACTAAAACATTAAGTGAATTCTCAAAGTCATGAAAGTCACACTATCAAATCCTTTTGGGGGCAATGTTTAGGAAATCCAAAGGTAAGATTTGAAGAACACGATATATAGACCTTTTGTTCAATTATATTCATGTAAATTTTGTAAATGCTGCCCTTAGAGATGGACACTGGAATAGAAATGTTGGTTGTGGATGACAGAGTAAATATAAATGTGGCAAAAGTCCAGAAGAGAAAAATCTCTAAGTCTAAGTACATGTTTTAACTGAATTTTAATTACAACTCTGAAGAAGGAGATTATCATGTTTATTAATAGAGAGAATCTAGAAAGAGTTACCTCTACTGCAGCTTTAGCCTGTTGGAACTCCGGCCCTGCTGTGGCGAACTCGTCCACCCAAGCCTCTGCTGAGTCTTCAGACACCTGATCACAGGAATAAAGCATGACAATGTCCTGACAAAGCTACAGCCATTTCCAGATGGGAAAATATTAAACAACAGAAGGGCACAAACAGGAAGCAGGAAAATGAAATGAAATGTCCTACTTTCATTCAGAAAAAGAAAGTTTAGGTTTTTACATGGAATTTCTGGTCCCATATTAAAGTAACACTAACGCTAGATGATACATAGTGACATCATAATGAAACTACTTGATGCCACTGATGCATTTAAGCGCAACTTGAAAAATTAAGCAATACTTGGTAACAAACACGATGCAGATGTCCCCTGTGCTCAGTCTACAGACACAGCATCTTTGGAATTACAAAATACTAACATATCTTCCCACTATGTGCTCCTTTAATGGACTGAAAATACCCAGATGGTTCCAAAATGTTGTTTACCATCCAGCAATTACTGAAGGATATGTCGAAGAGAAATAAACAGCCAATGAAACTAGTATTTAAAAGTGCATAACCGGTATGATAGATATTGTCTCATTAATAAGACAACATTAGAAAAGAAAATCTTTCATGTTCTTTTTTGTTTTTGAATAAGAAAAAAATATATAAACACATAAATACATAAAAAAGGGAAAAAACGGGTCCACAAAAACAGATAAAACAGTTAAACTATTCAACTGTTGAGAAGAAACTATGACGTAATAATAGTAAATATTATATTGTCATGTTTTCTGTACCTGCCTGACGACCTTTGCCCACTTCTCTGCCTGCTTTGCTTTATCTTTCTCAATGGTCTGGTCTCCCTCTGGAGGCTGCAGAGGAAGGCTGCCCCCCCCTGTCTGGGCCAGGAACTACAATGGCGAGGCGTGAGGAGCAAGTGGAGTTTGGGGCAGTGTTTGGTGAAGGGGGGACAATTGTTGGACGGGATAAAGTAGGAGCAATTTGAAGCAGCGGGAGAGCAGACGAATGGTGTTAATTGGTGAAATGACACGTTCAACAGGAACAATAATGTGGAAATATTCAACTCAAAAGCTGCACTTGGTCAGAATTGGTTTAATCGAAGTTGTGTATTTACCATTTAAGCTTTTTCTTTTGTATCAGGGCTTGATAGAATTATTTTGCTTTTTCAATGCTGCACTTTTCTTTTATTGTTACTATATCAATACATTTATTTTTCTAATTGTAATTATTTACCAGAGGTACCATATATCGTTTTTTTTTTTAGCCGATGGACCAAAATGAATATGCACTCTTAATGGGTTGAGGGCTGTCACACAATTATTTTTCAGATTTGATATTATCCTTCAAGATAAGGAAAATACAAATATCAAAAAATGACTTTGTTGTGAAAAATGTTTGAGCCTGTATAGTCTGTACAAAATTAATACAATGCCGAATATACAACAAATAGTCGATTAGTCAATTCTAAACCTGTTCTATTTTTATCAAGGTAAAAATAGTGATGAATATATATACAGTGTTTTAAATGCAGACAGTGCAGTCATTGCGGTTTGTATTTGCATCTGTGAAAGGAGTTCTGAAAATAAAGTTTAACCGTCTAACTTATTTGTTTTAAACGGAATAAACAAATCATTAAAAATCCATTAAAAGAAAGTATCTTATTTGGCTTCCTCTTTGGGCACCAATGATCTATGCAAAATTCACCAACATGGCTTCTTGTTCTCCCCTTGTGAGCTATAAGGAACATAGATATCAGCTTATTGTCTAACAATTAAAACAAGCCCTGCTAAATGCTAAAACAGCAAAAAGCCGTCATTAAAATCTACTATATGGATTTTCTGAATACTTTTCTTGTGCAGTGCAGCTTCTATTTAAAGCTGGGGCCACATGAGTTACAAAGTGTTGCTGAGGGAGTGAAGTAATAGTTGCCCCTTGCACTCTGTTGTGATGGGGGCAGTGACCCGTACCTGGTTGAAGCTGGAGGCCCAGTTTTGAGCCTCTTGGGCCTGAGCTTTATCTCTGAGCTGTTTGTCTGTGCTGCTCTCCACTGTCACACTGCCCTCCCCAATCTGCCTAACGAACCGCAGGAACTACACAACGACAATGAGAAATGACAAGACAGCAAATATTAACAGAAAGATGATTGGAACCATTAGAAAAGAAAAAACGAAAGTCATTCTGCATCAAAATGGCCTACACCAAACTAGTGACAGAGGGATTGATAAAGATGGGAGTGCATACATTAATAAAAACATGTGGCATTTTGAAATATATTGTTGGTTTAAAGCTATGGTGAAGTGAAAGAATAATGAAAGCCTAAATCCATATTTGCTTTGGGGCAAAGACCAAACCGTAGAAATGAGCAAATATTTACAAAAATAAATCATTTATGTTAATGGAGTTGCAAAATGTGAATAATATGCTTTGTCTATCATTATTTAAATGTAGGAAAGTGATGATGTACAGAACTTGTTGGACTATAATATACTTTCAACTTCTGTGAACTCTGCAATAGCAATGCATTTGTATTTAGCTAGCACACCAACAGAGGACGGGAACAGATTTGGACACAGCTCTATCAGCTACAGATCTCCAGAGCCGATGACGACGCACACATTCCTGCTTCAGTGAGTTTATGTGAACAGTAGAAAGAGCAGTTTTCATCAGCGGTTGGTTAAATGTTACACCATATGATAACCTGTGGGATCCAAGGGCGGACTATATGTGGAAATAATGTATGTTTCAAATTCAGTTGGTGCAGTTTATATATAGCTGTGGTTGATAGTCCAGCAAGTACTGTATTAGAAAATGGACCAAAGAATAATTCTGAAAACTTTCAAATAACTTAATTGTCTTGGTCTGAAATAGGCAACTTTACAGTCATTCATCATATCAAAGAGCAACCCCAAAAACAATGTCTGCTTAAGAACTAAAAAATAATGTAACGTCAATAATGTCATAAAAAATCTGGCACTCAAGTGAAGCATCAAAAAGCAAAGCTCGAGGTTGCCAGATCCAATAACTACAAACAGTATGAAAAAGCTCAAAAAGGAACAAATGCTGCACCGTCAATACACCCCAGATGCCTCCAAAGTCAAAGAAAGTCAAATGAAAGATACTAATCTCACAATGAGACTCACCTCAGTGTTTTGTAATTTAGGATCCTCGACTTTTGCTACGAGCTCATTTGCCGCTTGCTTTAAATCCTCTGCATGGTATTCTTTTGTCCTGTTGAAGAGACAGAGTTCGGCAGCAAAATTATAATTTAATCATTGACTCAAAAAATGTGTGAAGGAGTGTCATAGCGTTCTCATTAGTGGTCGTGATCAAGGAGATGGCAGGCGTCAAATATTACATGTTACGACTTGGTTCATTGTGAATTTTCTGATCCGGGTCAACATAGAAAACCTCTGCACAGAAATAAGCAAAACTAAAAAATATATATATATATATATATATATATATATATATATATATTCATACAAATATGTATCAGATCTTTTCTATTTGGGAACTAAAACAAAGAATTCAGACTACTCTAAGCATTGGGATTAAGTAAAGCTGAAGTACCTATTTCTAACACTACAAAAGTTTACAACATAGAGCTAGCTCCTACCTTTGTCAGAGTTTTGGAATAGCATTAGTTTTTGTTTTCTACTCAAGCATGTTTTTTGAGCCTTTCAACACTTTAGATCAGCTTTGACAGGTGCAAAAAATACAAGTTCGAGAAGCTTTAAAAAAAATAAAAAATGGTAAAAGTCTTGAAGGAAAAAAATTCCATAGCTTACTCCAAATACATTTATACATTAGCCCTTGCCCTCCATCTAAAAAGACAGAAAAATGCAATGGACATGATTAATCTTGAAGTGAAAGTGTGTGCCATCGGGCCACAGTCTTATTCTCTCATGAAAACAACATTAATCTTGAACTCTCACCACTCGCTCTCTTTGTCTCCCAGGTCTCCCAACCAAAGCTTCTCCTCTGACTGCTCCAGATATTCCTCTGCCCAACGTCCTGGATCTAGGGCAAAAAGAGCTGTAATAACTGCACAGAAAGTTGCATTTAATTTATTACTTGCATAAGGAAAAAATAAAGCCTCTAACTATAGACGGCAGCTCGGAGAAGGGTGTAAATTTCACTGACGGAGACTGAAATGCTAATAGGAAACAGAAGATACCTGCAGCGTCAGCGATAAACTCCTTGGTCCAGTCAGCATCGGCCGCATCCCCCAGAGCCACCAGGGGGGCGGAGGCCGAGTCGGGCCCACTGAGGAACTCTGCTGTCCAGTCTCCAGAGAGGGCCAGGGCTGCCACGTCTGGAGCTATCGACACATGAAAACAGTGATATTGTTCATTCATCATCAGATTCCAGGGTATTTTCACGTGAGCCAGACTTATAAGAGAGGTATAGTCCAGGGCTGAGTTTTATCTCAATGATCTACATCAACAAATAACACAAATCTAAAAAGAATTCTACATTTTCATCCTCCCATGAATTCAGTTTCAAATACCAGTGTGCATCATACAATGCTTTATGCTTTGACAGTCAGCGTTTGCAGAGTGGCTCTCTGACCTACCACACACAAAGGTGATGCAAAGTCACTCTATGATCATATATCATTCTGTACAGATATTTTACCATGATGGGTGGAAGTCCATACGGCCCACAGCGCAAAAAAAAACAAAACACATGGGATGAAAAATATAGCATTGACTATAAAATAAAATAACCTTTATAATCAGGGGTGCACATAACTTTTTCAGTGAGGTACTCAGATGAGTACCAGGAGATGGTGTTTGGTACTCACTCCATTTGTCGCGTGGTTCTTAATCGAGATACTTGCTTCCTTTTAATGCTAAAGTTAAGATCAGCTCAGATAATCCACTCAATCCAAGTCAAATAATGACTCACTGGTCTCTTTTCTAAAAATGCAAAACAAAACAATAAATCAAACAATGTTCTGTTTGATAAAACAGGCAAACTCGGAGTCCAGTGCTTAGGAGGGTTTATTTTCTATACTCCCAGAGTGCAAAAAAATGGTGAAGGCAGTGCAGAGCGTGTTTACAACAAAATTAGCAACAACAAAAACAAGTTCACACTGACAGATAGGTCACCTTTAAGTTTCAAGTTACCTCCTCTAACCAGCGGCAGACTGTTGCGTATGAATGGAACGGGGAAAACATTTGCACGAGTATGTGCGTGCCAGTGTGTGTGTGTGGCGCGTACGGCATGAAAGTCAGCCTTTAGTATGATACGACAGGTATATTCGCACACGTAGCTAGATACGGACCGCTCTGTCACATTGGCATTGCACCACTCCCCCCTAGGGAGGAGCGCCCCATTATTTGAGAAGGACTGGTCTATAAGTGAAGTACGCAAAGGCGCTTACTAACTCGAGTTTTCTGAGCATTTCTGATATTTGTAGCACATGCGACCTGCGTACCACTTATGTGCACCCCTGTTTAGAATACCAGGAAAATATTTCACAATATGCTCCTTGTAAACTGAATGCTCTGCCTAATGCAACTCATTCAAGAGTAAACTGAAAGACTCAATTTAGTTTAGGCTTTTTTATCTTTAGGCAGTCCCGTCATCCTTCCATTATCCTTTTGTAATTTATTTTGTTATACTGTCATTGTGAAGTGGCAGACCTGTATGAAACGTGCTATACAAATAAAATGTCTGCTTCTACAGAGACAGATGAGCTCAAGGACTGTGCCCGATGAAGCATAAATTACTACATAAGAAATACCATTAACTGTACTCTGAATACAACACACAATACAAGGCGACAATACAGTCAATATTATTAGTATTTTCAGTCAATCAATAAAAACTTCAGTAATATATATTGATACTTTGCCGCTTTTCCTGATTTCAATAAAAAAAAGGGAGCTACCTCTCTGCGGCGCCTGTCTGTAGCTCTGCTGATCGATCTGCTGCATCTCCTCCAGCAGCTGTCCCATATCAAACGTCTGGGGCGGACGCGGCGGGGCCTGCAGGAACTCATTCACCAGCTATACAGAAAACCAAATCAACTTTCTTTTCATAGCGAGCAGCCGCCAGGTTTGAACAATAATAGTTAAAAAAACAAATTATTTCAGGTTATTTTTCACCATACTTACATCTTCTTCAGTTGCTATTTCAATGGGAGTCGGAGGAATCTGAGGGAAGAAAAGTTTAAAGTGAGTGGACCTTGTGGCATCAGGCGTGCCAAGACAATCGGGCCATCGTTCCCTCCATAAAGTTTCATGAGCTTTAAATACAATGAAACGTCTGATGGAAAAACATGCACTGGATCTGTGCCGTCTTTCACATGACCTTATTATTTCTAACAAAAACTAACAATTATTGTGCCTTCTGTATTTTGCACTTCTGCAAAATTCATGACACGGTGAAGTAGTGTTCACCTACAGTTCAATGATTCAGTGATAAAATCATTACTGCAGCAAAACGTTCATTTAACCGTTCCAAACCATGTGGTCAGCTGCAGACGCCAGGAGTGGCAGAAGAATTCTACAGAAGAATTCGAATCAACAAAAAAGTCACTACAGTGTCATTCTGAAATAAAAAGTTGGTTGGGTAGTTTTTCAATTCCTGCTACATGGTGCCGGTTCCTTAAGGGTTCTTTTTCTGGTTCCATATGAAGTTATATATTTATGAAAAGAGGAAAAAACCCCAGATTTAACAATTAAACTATGTTTCTGTCAAAATATTGTAAGCACCATTGTACACACTTTATTCTGCAACAACATTTTCAGCATTGTCAGCCCCTGAGGTTTAACCCACTGAGGTAGAACATTCTGGCCATTCATGAAATGTACTGCACATTTACTCAGAGCAAGAGTAATGTATCAGTATCATGCGCACTACTGTCTGAACAGTTCTATCTAGGGCTGGATGATATGGCAAACAAGTAAAATCTCAATATTATTTACTGCTTTGGACGATTTCGATTTTAATGTGGTTCTCACCCCCGCTCCTCGGAGCTTACGTTACTCACATTTCCTGTTCAAATCTTCCTCTAAATGGGCGTAGCCTGGAGGACTAAAGGGGGCGTGAACGAGACTGGGCCGTTTATATAGCTCTGGGCGGGGGGCTGCTGACGTCAGGTCTTGCTTCAGACGTCAGGTCTTGCTGCTGACGTCAGGTCTCAGGCGCCAGATTCAAAATTCAAATGTAGTAATACAGGTCGCCAGCAGATGGCGCCTCACAGACGGTTTTAGGCAGAAAGTTTAACTTTCAACTAATTTGCACCAAAGTGACAAAATTATGACCAGGATAAGTAGACAACACTATTGGACACTCATTTATACCGTTTATCAGCAAAAAAAAAGTGGATTTGAGGGTGAGCTGTCCTTTAAATCGATTTTTATTAAAGTCACCGAAGACAGACTTTGCCCTTAAAAATATTTTCTAATCTTCCTACTCAATATTCAAGTTTCAAAACTATTTTCAATTTGTTTCCCCCAATATGTATTATAAAAGTCTTGTACAGACTGTGCTGATATTGTAAGTATAATTCAGGTGCTGCTGGAACTCTCACAATATCCTTCATTCGATTTCACAATTTTAACATCTGTGATCAAAGGGGAGGGTATTAGTATTAGATAGCAATATGGCCTACGTGCAGGACTGTACAAGGACTCTACAAGGACTCCATGTTATGACTATGATTTGACTGTCTCTTTGTGACACGTATGTCTTTCGATGTGTGACGTGACAATGACTATATAAACTATGTACTGCCTTTATTCTGTCTGAGAGGAAGAAACAGAGTAAACCAGTGGAACTTGAGAGAAACTTAAATAAACTTCCAGAGTTTGGCACACCACGATCCGTCTCTGTCTGCTTAAATCCTTACACATCTTTCACAAATTAGATTTTTTCAAAAGCCGAATAATTGCCTAAATTCCATGTATTACCCAGCCTTAATTCTATTTGGAAATTGTGTTCACACAGGTGCATTTTGAGTCTTCCTGTGTGTGTGGGTTGGTTAGGGTGTGACCAAAACACTAATCTGTATTTGCAGATGTGTGTTTTTAATTTACAGGAATAAAGTATGTATGTAGTCATTCTTGCTCACAGAAACTTGAGGCAACATAATGAATATTAACATTTACAATTTTGCACTCATTTGACTCAAGCAAAAATAACAAATTTAAAAAACTTACACTTGGCGTAGAGCGGTGTCTCCATGCCCCGCCCTCGGTGGTCATGTGACCGGTCAACTTCATCAGGGGATTGGCTCCTCCACATTCTGCCTCCACCAAATCCCGCATCGCCATGGCAACAGCAGCAGGAGAACAACACCCAAAAGATACTGGAAATCAGAAAGAAAAAAACAATATTAAAATGTTGCTAAATTAAAATAAGAATTTCATTAATAAGAATTATATTTAACTGAAAAACCATGGTGAGAGGACTCATTCTGACATGTCTCCATGAATATTGACCATTGACCTAACCACAAACCAATGTCATAAAATCCTAGTTCCTTGCTCTAAAACATTGGTTCTATGTTTTTTTTTAGCCTCTGTGACATTTTAGATGTCTTTTTTTAAAAGAAAGGAATAGAGGCCAACTTTTCCTTACCCCAGAGAGTGAAGTAACAACAGGGTTAAAATGTTTACCAAATCAGATCACGACTTTTGCAAGATTTCTCCTGTTAGAACAGATAAAATGTATGTTTTATTTTTTTTCAAAGTTAGGTACCTCAGCTTTAAGAAAAAAAGGCCCTAATTTTTTTAATTCCAAGACCAATTAAAAACTTAAATTCAAGTGATTCAGCATTTTTTTCGGTAGTCTATTTTTTCACAAGTCTCAGATTAATTGTACAGTAACCATAAGAGTTTTGCTGTGAAACAGACCAAAGGAGGAGCCATGGAACTGTGACTAGATAGAACTGAAATCAACACTAGGGAATTGTTTGTGAAGCCAGGTCACTATATAAATATGTCCTGGATTCAGGAGCGTCAAACCGTCAAATTATTCAGTCAACAGCATCCACCAAAGATAACATTATTTTATTCAACTAAAAATGCTACATTAAAAAAGTATTTTGATTAAAAAAAAGGAAAAAAAAAGTATTTACTGAAATTTTCATGCCAGATAAAACTCAATTTGTATAGTTCACTTTTTCTTATAAATAATTTGTTTATGGTCACATCCCATTTTTAGACAACTACTCGATCGACCGACTGGTCTATAGTCAACCAAGAATGTATTTGAGCAATTAACCTAATAGTAACCATTGAATGCATTGAAGTGATAAAAAGTTTACAACCACGGGACCGCACACCATAGAACGACCCACCAAGGTGAAATCCAAAGGTTACTTGCACTTCGGTAACTGCATCACCACGTCCCATCTGCTTCTTTCCAGGCCACTAATTTCACTTACATAATAATTCCCTATCGCTGCTTCTGCTGCTGCTACTTTTGAAAAACACATCATCGCTGGACAACTCCTAGAGCACTGTTAGTGCTGCTCGTAAGTGGTGCAACTATGAACGCACTGAAAATCTTTAATACATTCAACATTTGAGTAAACTATAATCGTTAATACCAGGATTACATAAAATCCTTCCATACGGATGAGATTAAATGTGTAAAAAGAAAAAAAAAACACTTACAGGTGTTCAGAGGAAAACAAGAGCAGCAGAGAAATCCTATTGTATTAGATTTGAGTTAATTTTATCACAAAATTGAGAACAGATTCAGTCACGATTAGGGTCAATTTTATAAGAGGATTAAAAAGATATTAATACATGTTTGTCAGACAAAGGTCATATGAACACCTGGTCAGTCAGCTCATCCTCATATCCATGTTTCACTTTTTGTTCTCTAGTACAATAATTCACAGCGTATAACAACAATCAGACGATTAAGTCAGTCGGATATAAGGTTTTTAAAAAGGTATGAGTTGATCAGAAAAAGGTGAAAAATCACTTGTTTGAAATCCTGTAAAATATGTCAATATTGTATCGTAGTGAAGGTGGGGACAGTTTCAGTGTTGCATTGCCTATTACAGAACTTACAATTATTTACCCAACCACACAATTACACAATAATGGATTAAATGTCTGCATCATACATGGAAACAGCAGGGGACATCAACAGACTGAGTTACAGGAGTTTTTGTGGTATTTTGAATTTACTAATGGCAGTACCAGTAAGTAGTATGTTTATTGTCAAGCAAGTAATACGTTTTGAATGCAGAGAGTAAACAGCTTGTGTACAAGGCAAGTTGTATAAAACTTTCAAGAAAACAATTGTGATGAACATAGGGTACATTATTGCATGCCCCAAGCATTTTGGATACTTAGCTACAGTAAATTCACAAAAAATGTATTTTTTTAATGATTGTGTGAGGGTTAATACATCTTTATGCAAGCAAAGGCATTCATGCATAGACTGGCAGTAAGATAGAATCCACTGTCTTTTCTGTGGTATGAAATAGTCGTCTGCAATGCATTAGACAAGGTTCATTTGTTAGCATTAGCCTGAGGTGCTAGCTGCAATAAACCAGTCTAGAGAACTAATGCGAAAAATCAAAACAAACAGTGCAATAGAATGGAAGAATATAGACGTCCATGTAGTCTGCCTTTTATTGTCTAAAAGCAAACAAGAAAATACATGGAGACAGACAAGTGGCTGCAATTTTGCTTCTTACAATATAAACAAACACATAACACCAAGAAATCTTTCCATAAGATAAGTTAGGTGACATTATTTCTCTCCTAAAATGCAATTAGTAAACAAAGTAGTGCCAGTGCAAGAGTATATTAGGGAGATGTGTGAAAACATTGATATAAAGGTTAGTACATGTCTTTTCTCACCAGCTCAGTCAGACAGGCGCTGTCGCTGCTTTCCCCGGGTTCAGTCGCTCTGTCCCGGTGTCTCAAAGGTCGTTTATCTGCCCAAACTAGAACCGATCCGGTCTTCCAAGCTCCACGGAGAAAACTGAGCTGCTTTTTAGCTTCTCTCTTCCATGACCCACAAGCCTTCTGTTTCTGCTGCTGCTGCTACTGCCGCTCCAAGCAGCGTCACGACTGGGATTCACAAACAGGGTTACGCACAAACAGGGTTACGCACAAACATGGCAGCGCAGAAAATAATCACACATGCCTACGCACAAAATAGAATTTACAAGTGGAGGAGACCAAAGTCCAGCTGATGACCCCAGCCTGCTGAAAAAGTAAATAAATAGTGAATATGTTTACAATTTAGCCTATATATACCATTGCATGTTACCATTGTGCACGTCTTTAGGCATTCATTGTAAATGTAAAAAACATAATCACCACACATAAACGTTGAGATCAACAGAGGCAATGACATACGAAACAAATGTGTTTTCATGTTGAGACCATTGATGGTTGAGACTGATCAAGAACGTTATGACTCTAGCCTACTCGTTATTATAATAGATCCATGAGCCTACTGTACTAATTTTTAAAGGTTTGAAAACTGATGCTTGTTCCACACCTAAAACTTGGCACTAGATGGCGTAAAACAGCCACAATAAACATTGGATTATATTTTCAGAATGTGAGGCAGGCCAACTAGTGTTACTTTTTAGTGTTACAGTTTCAGATAGGATACATTGTACCAAATGTATAGGCTATTAACATTGTATTTATCTGGTTTTAATGTATGTATAGAGGTCAATCTAGACCTGCTATTATTTATTTTGAATGTATTTTTTTTATTTTGCTTGATTGTATTAAAAATTTAAAATTGCCATTCCATTATTTGAAAAATTCAAACTCATTGATTAGCTTAACGTTCAATAAAAATAAGTAAAACAGAGAACATTGAGAGACGTCATATAGTGATTTTATTATGAATTTGACATTTCAACTTCTCTTCAACAACAATTGGTCAGCATTATCCATCTCCATTGTACCAATTATTACTCCACGTTTGGATTGTAACATAGTAATTGCTAATATAAGTTTATTCATCAATGCAATGTTTTGTTCCTTCTCAACATCACACTCAAAAACAACTGGCTTTTATTTACCGACAATGTTAGCACTGCACATTGAGAGCCTATACACGGACATAACAGCAAAAGACACAGAGGGAGTGGAGGAGGGTGGAGAGAGGGAGTGAGGAGCACAGTTTTACATTCTTATAACAAAAGATATTACATTTTTGTGTAAATAAAATTATCATAGAAATGTTAAATATAGCTTCAAATAGAACCCGGTGAAAGATGGACCACGTGAGATGTACAGTTTATAGGCAAGTGCCATTTTCACTCGTTTGTATTTCAAATATTCTTAAATTACAACAATATTACACATAAATTAGGTGACACTCGTAAAGCCAGAGTTATCAGCCTTATCACTACTACTACTATTATTATTTTTTATCATTTACCTTTTACGGATGCTATTACAATGAATTCATCTGATGGGAAAAAAATATATAAAATTATAAACTGCTCTGTTTTAAATTGTGCAGATGAAGTATACAGACTGTCCGCAATAATAGTAGTAATAATAACATTATTTAATATCATTCTATGTACATAAAATTCATACAATACAATCAAAACTGCCCAAGCTGAGCCTACATTCTGGATACAGCAGGGGACAGAGGTGGCGCCATGGGTGTGCACTGCAAAAACAAAAATGAGTGAAAACGACTTGAATTTTTAAAAATGTTAGAAGCTGTTTTTCTCAAATTGGTACAAGCATTTATTTATTTCTTAATTTGTATATTTTTCTCTTCTGATTATTGAGTTGAGAGAGAGATAATTGAGTATGTTGTTGTAGGCTTGGAATCTTTGGAAAAAGGTCACATTCCTCTCAATTAAAGTCGCTGTAGAAAATGAAAAGGGGTTTGTTGCACATAAATATCTTAAGCAAACGTGTTCTCCAAATATTTGTTTGACATATTTTCCATAATGATACTACTTTGTTTTGCGTACAACATTTACCAAAGAAATAATTCAAGCCATTTATCACCAATTGTGTTTTCTACAGTGTGTTGCAGTAGAATTGAAGTCGTGTTCAGCCAAAGTTCTGGTTCAGAAACAATCCACTGGTCAACGTGAGGAGTCAGAGGTTCCTTCGGTGGCGCGAGCGATAATTGGCCAAAAAGCCTTTCCCACAAAAGAGTGTCAAAGGCTAATGGCACAAACCTGGAGCACTGATTTTACTAAAAGCAGAGGTGTGATGTTTAGTGACCTGCAATCATGTCCGCCATCGCCATTTTAAATGAGCCATACACAGAATATTCAAAAAGCACAGGCCACTTCATCCACGTTTGCTTGTTATTTGTAATCCTTTTTTTAATGAGGTCAGTTCAGTCTTATAGCTCCAAGTCTAGGTGCAGTGTTAGTTCATCTCAAATGTTCTGACAAGAAAGCGGGCAAATCGATCTTTCTTAATGAGATTGTTTACTATCATTGTAGAGACCAGATACGCATTTTCAATAAAAAAATAAGAAAGGAAATCTAGAGTGTTATCATTATGTGTATTTTAATAGTATCTGCACATATTGGTTATAATATTGCAACAGCGATTGGCTGAACTATATCAGCCAATTTCTTATTTGGTTTAGGGTGGTCATGGTTCAAAATTAAGGCTTGGTTGGGTTTTAGACCATGAAATAGACCTGTTTCAGTACTAATATGCCATGTTACGTCCTGGTTATGTCCTATAGTAAAGTCCTCATATACCTGCTTCTGACATAGACCAAACATGGTCCTCGACATTCATAGCAGACATTCTTCCACGTTCTTTTATATGTGGCGGCCATATTTGCAGGTTTTATCAGAGGAATGTGTTTTGCGAAATGGAGGCGAGCTTGTGCACAGCTTGGAGTCAGTCCATAGAAAAAGGACAATGCACCAGAATGAAGACTTGTGCATATACAAGAGTACAAGGCCAGTGAGTTCTGGACTGATTGAATTTTAAGGGTTTTCATTCAGTGATGTGAAATAAAAATCTTTGTAAAAACTCACTTTCATTCAAACCAGCATTTCACTATACAAACACATCACCATCGTGTGATTTAGTACTGGTGCATTTACATTACATTTCTTTACTGCAACAATATCTAATCTAAAGTAAATGACCTAAATTCAAAACTCAAAATTTGGCATGATACTATTAACCGTGTACATAAAGTTTTGAAATTATATTCCTGAACTGGTTTCAAAACAAATCTTCTCATGTCATACTAAATTATGTAAAAATGAAGAGAAAATGCATTTAAATAGCTTATTTTGTGCTACTTTAGGAGTTGAAACCAGGCAGAAATGTCTTGAAACCGCTTCTAATTCTAATTCGTCAATGACAAAGCAAATCAAATCTACTTCAATATATTTAGTATTCTGAATTTAAGTCATTTTAACACATTCTAGACATTATTTCATTGCAGTGTGGTCTGTGTGTTCTTAATCTGGTGGTTACGTTGACTGTGTACATGTACATTGTGCCATTCAACGATAAAGGAGACGAGAGCCCATTGGTTGGCTGTAGGTCACAAATGGCATTATAGAAGTGATGGTGTTGTGCCAAGTGTCAGAAAGCATACATTCCTTATAATAGATGTTTTTCAACGCGTGTGAATGGAGGTGGGCAATATAAAAGGTTTAAGAGATTCAATTAATGCCAGTTAGATGGACTATAACTAACTTGATTTGTCAATATACAATACTTGCTAGACTGTTAAGTTACCTGTAAAGTAACCGCACTAGCTAAAGTTCATAAGAAAGTATTTTTTGCTCACATATAGACCCCACTCTCATGTTGTAATGTAACACATACCAACAGCAGATGGAGCAAACAAGATCACAAGATGATTTAATGATAATGATCAAAGCGCTCTGGTAAATCTATTTTAAACATTCAAACAGGACAACAAGTCAAAATAATAACATTATAAAAATTTGTTCTGACAAGTAATCACATAAAGATAGAAGATTCCTTGTAGCTGTTCACATAAACACACTGAAGCAGGAATGTTTTCTACGTTATCAATAACTAATAGAGCTGTGTTCAAATCCATTCCTGACCCCTGGGTGGCGCTCTAACAAAATAGAAATAGTACATTCGCTGCATCACTATACAGACACAAGTGTTTAAATAACTTGGAAAAGTAGAAGCTTATAGTCCAGCAAGTATTGTAATCCCTGAAAGCAAGAAAACTGGTTTAGATATTTTGATTATTTTTTAGGTAAATTATCTGCAATTTCTTATGTTTCTTTAATGTCCACAAGAAAGTACTTCCATCGGTAGAATTGCCTTGACACTGATGTTCAAAAGTTTGGGGTCACTGAGAAATGCCCCCTAATTTTGGATTAAATTAAATAATACATAATATGATCATCGTAACGGAATAAGTAGAGAGGCTTTTCTTTCCAGCAAATGAATCAAAGTGTGAGATTTAATGGAAAACAAACTTTTGAACAGTAGTGTATGTAGAATGAATAAACTAACCGTAAGCCACTAAAATCAAGAGTGGATAATTAGATTTCAAGTTAATGTTTTGTCCGTAAGATATCGCCCACCTCTATTCTGTGTGAGTGTGTGGTGGGTAAAGCCAGCATGTGTTCCATGTTGACCGGGTGCAGATAAACACGTGTGGTTAGTAGCGGCGAGCGTTGCTGTCTCTGGCCTCCTTCTTGATGATGACTCTCTGATCATCGCTGCCCTCATCCGGAGACTCTGGGGCCTCCTCCTCCTCCTCTTCCTCCCCTTCTGTGCCCAGGCGAGACTCGTACGACTGTGGGATGACATGGGTTTACTGGTGTTTAAATATCTAAATGTTGTGGAAATGCTTCACAAAAACAAAGGCCAGACAAAATAAAAATGCTGTAGGTTCTATGCCAGTATGCACTGTTTATGTTAACATTGAGGCCTATGGGTAAATTTCCTGGATAACCCTGGTGAATGTAGTCTGCAGTTGCGGTAGAATAAACATTCTGCCACAACACACTTTCTGTACATTCGAGAGCAGTGGCAGTACTTGCTTGGCACAGCGGAGAGCAAGAGGCACACACCAGAAACAGTACTTAGTGACAAGAGAGGGAGGACTCAGTCACACCGGTGCTACTGTTTCTCTCATCTCTCTCTTTCTGATTTTGCTCGAGGAAATTCCTTGAGCAAAAGCAGTCCATACTAAGCATCAAAATCTGGAGATAGGTTACTGCTCCCAAGTGGCATTGAAGGATGGGTCAAATGCAGGGGACACGTTTCCCTACAGGTTGGGTTAAACTAAAAAATTGTCTGCCATTAATACTTTTTTATTATTCTGCATTCTTCTCCTAATACTGTATCAAACTTCAGTGATCCTCCGTAACAGTCGCTCACCTCCATGGGGTTGACTATGATGGTGAGTGCGGAATCATCCCATTGGTTGCCTCCCTCTTTGGCTCCGCCTCTGCTACCTTCACTGCGGCGATGGATGGAGCGGATTCGGAACACGCCCAAGATCACCATGACGACCAGGAAGCCCACACACACCATGATGATGACGGTGGCTGCTCCTGGTACCACTGTGGAGCGAGAGGAGACGACACATGCTTTTGACTGCTGTTAAACTAACTAGCACACACTTGTATCGTATGTGTTATTGCATGAATGTTCTGGTTTAGTTCAATATTGAACTATTGAATTAAATATTGAAATGAGTGAGTTCCTGACCAGATGTGTCACAGTGGTCCTTAAATGGGATTGGGCAATGATTATTTGTTCTGGGTAATGATCTTTTAAAACAGCAGAATAGAAATGGCCATGAATTACCAGTTGTAATCAAGAAATTATCTGAGAGGCATATTTAGATAAATGGAAATGGAATTATTCCATTCTATGGAATGGAATAATTAATAAAAAATATGGAATGTGATATCACATATTTGTAGTAAACAATGTATATATTCTTCAATGTGGATTCAGTTCAAATGTAAAATGTTACGCCTGTTACAAAAAGAAACTGTTTATGTAAATGCCAATGATCTGTAGGAGTGGGAGTAGAATAAATCTTCGGCTTCTTCCAACTCGTTCTCAGAGACTTGACTGAAATATAAGTTATGTTGATTAATACCTAGGTTTAAGATAAAGATAAATTAAGTAAAAGGTTTGTCTGTTGGTTGGTTTGTTTGCTTGACTAAAAGGTAAAGGGCAAATTTATAATATTAAAAAGTTCTTCAGAATACTTATCCATGTATTTTTCTACCTCTTAAAAAGTCTAGATTAGTAGCTATTCAATTGACCAAGTCTAAGGAATATTTTGGCTAGCTAAAAGCATAGTCTAAGAAAAGTACTTTTGAGAAAATTTTCTTCAACATAGATTTTGTTAACATAGGAATAAGATAATACATTAACGATAATAACTGGCCTCACCTGAGTTGCGGTGTGGATTGGGCAAAGTGTGCCCGCTCAGTTCCCCTGCGTGATGTGACGGATGGAGAAACTGCTGCTGTGAGGCGAGGAGGTGAGAGGGGTGGTACAGGCTGTCCAGGGAGTGGAGGAAGTTCACCTGAGGAGCAGCCAAACATTTAAACTAAGGTATACCATTTTATCACTCTTAATTCAGAGCTGTCCATATTTTCCATCCATCCATCCATTTTCTTCCGCTTATTCCATTCTGGGTTGGGGGGTGGCAGTCAGAGCTGCACCCAGTACACATAGCACCAGCCCCTCACTGATCCTCCTGCACGTGGTGAGTCCACAGGAGCTGAGATCTTTCAGTGGGGCTTCAGGCAAAAGTCCATATTTTCTTTTTTATGAAAACAAATATTATTCAAAATCTGATTCTTCTTTTGCTTCTTCTATTTTCTTCTCCTCCTTCAAAGCCAAGGGTTCCCAAACATTTTGATAATTGTTTGTGTCAAAACAATTATGCAGAATATGATGTAGAAATAGTTAAAGACAAATAGTCCACATCTTGCTACCTCCAACTAGTGTTAAATGGATACCTTTTTGATAAAGACGGACATTTAATGATCTGAAGCTATATTGGCTCGTTCGGGTATAACAAATACCATACTGTACAGTATATAAGCTCCTGTCCACACATGGGACCATTGACCATAAATATTCGGAATGAACTAACCAATTGCTGACGTCACCCATAGTGTTTGCCAAAAGCTGATTTGATCCTAAGCATGTAGGAACCAAACACCATTTGTGTCGTAACAGGGGCAGGAGCAAACTACTGTGTTGCTAACATGGTTGCTAAGACAAGCAAGAGTTTCAATCGAAAAAGGAAGGCATTTAAATGGTCAATCCTTATGGCTCATAAATGGATTCACAAAGACAATATCAAAATTAAAAAAACTCTAAAATCATTGAGAGTGCTAATCCACAGATATTTTAAGACCAAACTGGTGAAAGTGACAATAACGGTTACTGAGCTATAGGTAAGTGATTTAGGAGCCTGGTGAAAGAGGGCGTCAGTCTGAGCTCTCTGTCTGCCTGACCAAGCCAACTCTGTACCATCAGCTGATAAATGACACATCACAGAAGTTTGGGGCAGCTCAGGAGATGGTTCACATGTTAACAAGGTACATCTTAAACCAGTACTTGTCTTTCAAGAAGAACTACAGCAGTAAAAACTCAGAAGCAGACAGAATTAACAAGTTACCTCCAAAGTCAGCTCATTGCTCGTGTATCGGCCGTTCATCTCAGAGCAGGACAAACGGAAGCGCCTCTCAAAGCGCGCTGAGCCTTTGGCCAGACGGTAGCGGACTGAGCGGAGGACGTCCTCATACACAGAGATGGACTCAGCTCCTGTGCATTAAGACAACACAAATACACAGTAAAAAAAGTGCACAGGACTGTGTTTGGTGGGATTGTACATGAAGTGTCAGTTTGTCAATAAAGCATAATATAGATGTATAAGCAGTAGCAAACACTCTGATTGATTACTATCAATAATTCTTCAATTATTAAATAAAGCAGAACAAAATAAGAATCATAGATAAGATGAAAAATGAGCCGCTGAATGTACCTTATTGTGACTCGTGAAAGAAGGTTTTTTAATGACAGGAACACCAACAGGTGGTTATAATAAACGTGTGTGGGTAACACACGGACAGCAAAATGCAAAGCAACTAAACAAAGAACATCAAACACATTAGGAGTATCTGGTACACATTGTGGAGTGACTATTCTCTCCATCAGAAGGGCCCCATCTCAAAGCACAGCCTGTTGAACAAGGGACGTATTCTCCAAAACCAACAACTACTTACTTGTATGGTTGTGGTAATATTTAATAAACAATACCTCATAAGCACAACTTGTGAGGTATAGCTTATTCTGTCCATGTGGCCTCATAAATATAGCTCCAATATCCAGAATTCTGAATCTTTGTCTAAGTCCAAGTTTAACATGGAAATAGACATGTTTAACTTTTTTTTATGAATGCATGCATTAGAAATAGAGTCTGATGTCTATCTAAGATAAGAATTCCTTTATTCGTCCCACAGTGGGGAAATTTCAATGTTGCAGCGCACATATAGGACAGTAGTAAGAGCACACAGGGAGCACACACAATATATACAAATAAGTAGTAGCTATGTTTCTTAGCTAACAGAACTAGCTGTAGATGCTGAAAATGCTTCAATACCAGTCAAAAAATATATATGTAGTAGTGCAGTTATATACTGTACAGTTAAATAGTGCAGGATAAAAAGTATATAAGTAAAGTGACATGAGGTAAAGTGACATTGTTCTGTGACATCCTGAAGTTGCCTGCATCCTCATTTACATTGTAGGACAAGATAAAAATAATTCACAATCATCAAGTTTATCAAGGAAATGTCCACAACGAATGGCACAGAATCGGTTCTCGTAGCATTCACTTAAAAAGCTGATTTTGTGAACGGGACTCAACGGTTTTACCTGTGATTGCGATGTAGGCAGTGGTGTTGATGATCTCCAGGCCTCGCTCACGCACCACATCCATGTCCACCAGAAGCTCCTCCCTCTCGGCGTTCAGCTCCTCACCCAGCGGCTGCACCTCACACCCGTCCAGCGTGTGGGCGACGGCGTCCGACATCAGGGCTGAGGGAGAGAGCAGTGTGGACATGGCCTTAATCACTACATAACCACACTGGAAGATCACTGCCAGCTCCAATTAAGAACCGCACTATCATTACTGAAGATAAACATGCTTGATCACATTTACTTGTTTGTGCTATAGATTACTTCACGTTCTATTTTCTCATCATGTGGCATTAGACTCGAGTCACGTCGCATTTAAATAACATTTCAACACAGGATGGGAAAAACTAGCATAGACAAAACACAAAAGATTGGCTCATTTTGTGTTGAAAGCCACTGAATGCAGGTGTGCCTTCAGAAAAAGAACATAAACTTAAATAAATATGGAATGATACATTTTAACAGCCCAGTCTACAGTTGATGTCACACGGTCAGACAAACAGCAGCAAGTGTAGGGGATGTGCAAAATGAAAATGCAAAATGGCAAGTGACCAGAATAATTAGCAGGGATGCAACGTAAACACTCAGCTTAACTAAAAGTAGGTTGAATCCTTGGCATTTTCCTTGGCTTCGTCTAAGACCTTCTTCACACTTAACCCTGTTTTAATGCTTTTGTGCTGTGACTGTGACAGGATCTAACTTTATTCACAAATGAATCAAAACTCTCTAAATCAATGCATGTGGATTTCTATTCAAAGCAATCTTTCATCTTTTAATCGCAGAAATTGTGCCAATCTCTTTACCATTTCTTTCCACACATCCATCTGTATTCATGTTTAAAGAACAGAAAAACTCCAGGCCAGTCGTGTTGATACAAGTCTCAGGGGTTTGGAGTCTGTGTCCTCAGTCCAGCCTGAGCAGGTCGGACTGAGCAGGTCGGACTGGAGGAGACTCAGGGGAGGCTGAGGACTGGAGCTACATACTAGGAATACTCAAACAGCTTGTGCAGCGGTTTATCAACAAAATTAGGGCTACAATGTGAGCCTGTGTGAGAAGAGAACATGTGCTGGTTAAGACCCCGGGAAGAATAGTCATTACACCGTTGATGGGGGACCGAAATAAATTAAATGAAAGCTGTTGGTTAAAGCCCAATTAAAAGAAAATCTGAAACGAGGCACGGGTTACACTCTTTTTGGATGATTCCCGAGTGTATCTTTGGCATAGCTATTACATACTGTATGTGTTTGCAAAGTTATTTTATATTAGAGCTGTATTATCTGTATTTATTTTATGATATTCAATTCAGAATTGCATGAAGTCAGCCTGCTGTGAAGAGAGTAATAGTACAGACTAATGGGATGTTTGTGTTCTCACCTCCTCCCTCCATCCCTTGTGCTGCGGTGTTGACGGCGTGTGACAGAGAGCAGACGATTCTCAGCTCGGGGAACAGGGGGACGCCGCGGGGGCTCTCAAACTCAGGGGCGGGACGAGCGAGGTGTGGCCCGACCCCTGACAGTGAGATCTGAGGGGCGTCGGGCTGCAGCACCACCAGGTACCCCTCCAGCTGCTTCAGGGACAGGCAGCTCTCCTCATTGAAGCATCTGCAGCAAAACAGACACCGCATGACACCATTTGGAAAACAAATCTAGTCTTGTTGCTCACTACTTTACCAATGTCTACTCTGCTCCGTCTACTGTTAGAGATGCAGGGGTTTTTCTACACTGCAAATACAGAATCAAGAGGAGCTAAAATAACATGTTTTCTTGGTTTAAGGAGATTTGATTTGACAAGTAAAACTATGTATCAGTGAATATACACTATGTTAGGGATTCCACTCCAAAAAATAGAACTATATCTTGAATTCAGATCAAGATACAACTGTTTGCACTTAAAACAATAAAAAATAAAGTTTCTTGAAGTAGGAAAATAAGATATATCAACACGGTGCGGCACGGTGGCTGAGTGAATAGCACTCTCGCCTCTCAGCAAGAAGGTCCTGGGTTCGAATCCCGGTTGGACCAGGGCCTTTCTGAGTGGAGTTTGCATGTTCTCCCCGTGTCTGCGTAGGTTTCCTCCGGGTGCTCCGGTTTTCCCTACCACTAAAAATATGTACAATAGGTCTGGCATGGACCTCCTGTACTGGCCCCGCTCCCAAAAATAACAATTGTAAACCGCTCTGAGACTCTGATGTGCAGTGAAAAGGCGGTATATAAATAAAGACTACTTACTGTAAAATCTATTCAAATAAAGAAACTATGATCACAGTTAAAATAAAGTTAACTGATTTGTGTTTTCTAAAATGTGTCTATGCCCCACATTAGTGATAAACCTAATTCAAAAACTGCCACAAGTCCATTTTATTTTCAGCCATATATTTTCCTTCATCCAACAAGATCGTAGGATTAATTTATTATGGTGTGATCCTAGCTTGAGTATTGATTATACAGTTTGAGTAAATTATTTTGACAGCTCTCAGGAAAAGGGGAGGAGTGGCCACTTTTACAGTGAAGTGTGTTAAATTTGCAGCCTCGGATATAGCAGCTGCTAACACTGGCCTCTGCTGGAGCCTGCTGTTCAGCCATCTGGGCAACTCCTCAAATCACTTTAATCTCCACGTGCAATAAAGCCTGACGGAGACTTGAACTGAAGAGAGAAAAACATATGACCTTGAATTCTCTCAAATACAAGTAGTGGATGAAAGAAACACTGAAGCTTAATAATTGTTTTTTCTAGTTTGGTCATAACCATAATTAACAAAGTGGAACGTTTTTGTTTTTTTCCTTCTATGAGCTTTCTCCTCATCAACTTTAAATGAATGCCAGCCGCTTGTGCAGAGAGAGGGAGCTGCTATTCCTGTTCCTCTCTGAATGGACACAATCATGTCACCACCTTTATTGACAGACAACCCCCCTCCCCATTGGTGCAACTGGTCTCCACCACAAATCTTACAAGTTATGCAAAGAGAGGCACTGTCTGACATACAGTATTTCACATTAAAGCACAGGGTCAGGCGGGGAATCAGGGTCAGTTACATTATGTTACCTAATTCTGATTGGGCTGATTCATATTCACTTTACCTGTTGATATCTTACTGTATTATTACATATCCATCTGATAATTCTCCCATTCAAGTCACTTTACCTGTTGATATTATTTCTGATGTTTATTCTGCTCATATTTTCATATTCTCCGCTGCTAATGTATAATATAGACATCTGTAAATACTCCGAACCAAGTGCAATTATAGCCCAGAGTTTATCTCTTTTTATTTTATTTTATTTTATCTTAAATTTATTGTCTATGATCTTAAATAATAGACTTTGATGTGTGCAATCTGAGTGCTCTTATTTCCTCTCTCTGCTGTAATGTGCAACGATGACACTGGAATTTCTCCACTGTGAGACTAATAAAGGTTTATCTTATCTTATAGAAGACTAAAAAAATAGGAAGATTTAGTGTGAAGCTAAACGAAACCTGGATTTGAGCATTGTCAGAGTGACGCCTGTCTCATATTTTCAAGAAGACTGTTCCAGACTTTAAATGCAAAATGCTGCCTCTTCATGGTTAGTTCTTGACTCAGAGTCGCAGCAGGAGGTCAGTCCCTGTGCTCCTCAGAGGCTGAGTTGATTTTTTTTAAATGAATATTGTATTCTATGACAAAGAAACGTTTTCCTTCATCTGTCTGAGCAGGTTCAAATGGCCTGTTATTCTTGGCAGCAAGTTTTAGTCAAAGAACAACCACACTTACTGTAAGCTGTGGATTGTACTTCCAAAGACGAATCAATATTTTATCAGCTAAAGCCAAGTGCAAATTCACAGTTGTTAAGCAATGGTTGAGCACTGACCCGGAAAGAGACTGTGCATTTTTCTCACTCTGTTCTTGAAGCACAAAACAGAGCATTCAAGATAAAAGACTGAGTCACGTCTGGTCAGATGAGTTTTGTATCGTCAACAAATGTTTTTGTCCATTGTTCAGTTTTATTGTCAAGTCCACTTTACACTTGTGCGTTTTTAACGTGTTAACGCAATTCAATCATTTTTTATCAACCGATTCATTTTAACTTTATTTGTAGATTTTCTGTGGCCACTTAAACTACCCTTAGAAAGGGCTTGTGAAATATAATACTACATGTTTTTAAAAAAAAAGACATTTCCACGTTAGAGTAATAAAATTATAAATCAAGGGATACAGATTTGCAATTAATCGCGAGTTAACTATGACACTCATGCAATTAATCACTATTTCACAATAAAACATTTTTGGATAGCACCACTTTACACCAAACAGCAAAACTCAAAAGTTACTTCTTTAAAGTTCCAGTGGACGTGAATCTGAATGAATTTGACGTGTCTGAACGAAAACAGATAAGATATATTCTAGTCTTATCTTTTACAGCGCAGGGTTTTATTGGAGCTGAAGCAAAGTGGTCAATGTCCAGAGTGTACTTTTGGTGGTCTTTCACACTGGCTAGAATATCAATACAAACTCTCAAAATAAGACAGTTTGGGGTTGCACTATCAGGTTACGCAGCAGCAGTGAGGTGACTGAGAAAGTGAATCACACTCACATAATCATCAAACAACTATCATTGGCCGAGATATAATAATGTGATTTGTCCCTTTTGTTCAGAAACTCAATATTATTTAGTTCAGACATTTACTTTATATTACAACCATCGTTTTGTGTGTTTTTGAGTTGTGATTAGATTTGGTCACGTGAAGCAAAATTTGATTTTTTCTGTAATTTGCTAACTTGGTTTTACAGGTTATTTATTTACTTTGGCTTGTCTAATTAGTTAATCCTATTTTGTAGCCATTTTTTAATCTACTTTGTCTCTTTGAAATAAACAGTGATTTTACCATCTTGGCTTTCATTGTTACTGATCTGTTCTGCGAGTCATAACACATTTGACGTTTAAATACCAAAAAATGCATAGATCATTATAACACTCATTGACAATATAACTGGGTGTTCTCTTGAATCCTGCTCTAACTAGTTCATATATAGACTTTTCTTTTTGCAAAACTCGTTCATTTTTCCTTTGCCGATTCAGGTCTGATAGACTGAGTGGTCACACAAAAAGGACTGTGGTGATGATCCAGGACACTGTGACATTCTACAACATTTATGGACATTTATCAACATTCATAGACATTGGTCTCTCCCTTTGGACTAATAATTATGTGTTCTATATTTTTTGTGTTTGAACTGTTGATTCTCTGATCTATGTTGGCGATCTCAACGGTTTTGTTAAATCTTCTGAGATAACTACTGTTGTGATTTAGGGCTATACAAAAATACATTGAATTGAATTGAATTGACTTCACCATCTCCAACCTTGTGTGTATGTGAGCATGTTTTGATTATTTTTGATAATTACAGGTCTTGACATTTCTTTGAGGCAAAAACTAGTCTGTCAGCCCTAGATCAGCCAAGTCCTTAAGACTAATGGACATGAGCAAAACAAGCTATTTGTGACCTGAGAAAAGGAGAAAAAAAATCGTCTTTGTATGAAAGGCTTTTACCTGAGTGAGGTGGTGAGTTTGAGAGGCCGCACTCCAGGCGTGGCAAAGCGGAGAGAGTTCCTGTAGGTGACCTGCTGCACTGCGCGGTTAAAGCTCTCGATGTCATCTCCCTCCAAAACCAGAACAGACTGACTCGGGTTCACGTGCACCTGGACAACAGCATTAGTCAGATTCAGATTCAGATTCAGATTCAGATTCATTTATTGCCATTTGCAGTAACACTACATTGGAATACGTTTGTAAAAGTTCCCAGTGTGCACAGGACAAGTACAGACACAAAACAACATTAAAAGACAAAAATAAAACAAATTTTAAAAACAGTAAACAAATGTCACCGTGAAGTGAAGTTGACCAACTTAAAACAGATCTATACGAGTGCAAAAAACATTAAAGTGCTCTATTCAAACTGTTAACAGCTCGTGGAAAAAAACTATTAGCATAACGAGATGTCCTGCATCTCAGAGAACAGTATCTTCTGCCAGAGGGAAGAAGCTGGAACAAGGCTTTTCCTGGGTGGCCAGAAGAGTCATTGATAATTCTCAGGGCACTGTTAAAAAGTCTGGATTGATAAAGAACCTCCAGAACAGGAAGCTCACAGCCCACGGTCCTCTTTGCAGAGCGGAGCACCTTGTTTAAAGCTCTCTTTTCTTTATCTGTGATGTTACCGAACCACACAGACACAGAACCAACAAGTAAACTCTCAATGGTGCAGCAATAAAAGTTCAGCAGAATCTTAGAGTTTGTGGTAAATTCTCTAAGTTTCCGCAGGAAGTAGTGACGCTGACGAGCTTTCTTTACGACCCGGTCAGTGTTTTTAACCCATTTCAGGTCATTAGACAGAGTTAGACCCAGAAACTTACACTCCTCTACAATCTGCACTTGGGAGTTCTCAATTGCGACAGGCAAATGAGAACTATTGCGACTGAAATCAAAGACCAGTTCACATGTTTTGGATGCGTTCAGCTGGAGGTTGTTAGCCTTACTCCACTGAACCACGTTTTGGATCTCGGCTCTATAAGACGATTCATCGTTATTACTGATGAGACCGATGATGGTGGTGTCATCAGCATATTTGATGATCAGGTTAGAGTCTGAGGAAGACACACAATCATGAGTGTACAGTGTAAAAAGTAAAGGACTCAAAATTAGTTTACATCATATAGTGTTCCAAAACTATACAACTGCTGTGAAGCCCTCTGACAGAATGAAAACTTCCAAGACAAGACAGAAGGTTCTGTTAATGAGACCTAAGTGTAAAGGCGCTAGTAGTGCTTAATTACAACATGTTTTGGAGGTAAACTTCCTCCTTTGTGAGCAGTGACATGTGATGTGTTAGGTGTCTCTTATCAGCTGTTGTTACCGGATGTGACTGAAATACATCAGGTAATTAAGCAGTACTAACTTCTTTACACTTTTGTCTTTTTGGAAAAACCGTCTAACCCTTATCGTAGAGAAGACATCATTACCTTTTTACATTTAATGAGCCTCAGAACTAAAATCTTTTGATGTGTGACTCTCGCCTTTTGAAATGAGTTTGCTACCTGCTCACTTTCTTTGCTATGATGTTGCACTTATTGGACAGTATTACTAATAACCAGTGCTTTTTACTTCCCCAAAAATTTAACTCTAACAAATGTCAGGCTCGCATTTCAACCAGGGAGTCACTTAGCCACATGATATCACTTAACAAAACGTTTGTTGACCTTAATCAGGAGGCAGCCCGTCCACTTAATATATAACAACACATAAGCTTATTAAAAGTCTTTTAGGCACAATATTTTTTCTTGAAATTTGATGAGAAGACAAAAGGTGGAGCCCTGAAAGTGTATGAGACATAAATGTCATTAGTAACCATAAACAAGCTTAGATAACATATCAAGGCATGACTTTGGGGGGGAAACTTTACCGATTGGTTGATATGAACTAGCTAGAATGATATTAAAGGCAGATGTGGAGGGGTGGACGTGTGTGTTCAAGGTATTTGTGAACAATACAAGAAGTATATCTCCAGAGAAGTGTAAATGGAAACATGTTTGTTATTCCTACCTTCATCCCGGAGCCCAGGGTCTCCAGGTCTCCAAAGTCCAGGCCCTCTCTGCAGGCGTACAGACACTCCACCACACTGTGAGGCTCCACGCTGCCCGGACGCACCGTCACCCCCGACAACAGGCCATGATACCCGCCCACGTACTTCACTAAGTCACAAAACACACAATAGTTACTTACAACGGCTGCTACGACTGATGTTTTTCCACAATTTTCCTGGTTACAATTAGTCAATCGCAATTACTAAAGTCCTTTATGAACAAAAAATTTCATTAAAAAAAGAAAGAAAGAATTGGGGAAATAATATCTTGCTTGAGTATATGTTGAAGATCTATGTAACTTAAGCAAATTAATATAATTTTTTCAATATTATTTTGCCATTTACACGACAATCGAATAACCTTGAATTATGCATATTATAGGTTGGATGTATTGTTGCAAGGACTTCAATGTCAAATAGAGAGAAAAAATTAAAAATTCCATCAACATTTATATTCTCGATCAAGCGCTAACATCTGCCAGCCAATCACAAACACAGTCAAATGGGAATCATCATGAAAGTCATCTCATTTTAAAACTACACTTTTTACAATCTGGGTGGTCGACCCCTGGACAAATCAGGTGAATTAAAGTGACGCTCCTACTAAAAAATTTGGACGTCCCTGTTCTAAAGTCATAGAAAGTACAAGAAAAAAGGCAGTAAACTCAATGGCACTGCGACATGTGAATTTTGAATCAATATCAGTAGTTTAGAGGCAATAAAAACACCTATTTTGCCCATTGAGTTGCAGTTTCCAGTATGAAAATTGCTATGTAAATACAATAACTTATTTTTCTTCTATTCTGTAGTGAATAGTGATCCTAATGTGTTTGTGTAGAAATCAAACCTTTACCTTCTGGGACTGTGTTGTTGAAGATCTCACGTGTCTCTTCCTCAGGCTCTGCAAAAATAACAACAGCAACAGAAAGATTGTCAGGGGAATAAAGCTGCTAGACTGCTGCGACAATGTCATAAAAAGGATCAAAACAGCTCGATGTTTTCATTTGGAGATGTTGCATTAAAGCAAGACGAGATCACCACAAAGTCTACATCAGGATTAATGACGCGTAAACAACGGCATTGAACTGTATGAAACACATGATGCATAATTAATTAAGATGGACTCTGTGTATCCGTTATGATATAAGTTTGTACTTGAGTATTCTTGAAAACAATTCAAATAAATTCATAAAAAATGTTGGGACTTGGGAACAGCTCGTGGATTCCAAATGGCCTCATTATCTGCAGATCTCCTCTCACAGCAGACGGCGGATGCGCTGCACATTTAAACATTTTCTGCTAATTGGCTCTAGCACCGCAAGTCCCATTTTAAAACACTGGTAGCAACAGGACAACTGGGGTGAGGAGAGAAACAGTGATATATAACTTTAAGTCTTTCAGAGAGGAGGGTCATGGACATGTTGGTGTTTTGTCTGGAATGTGCATAACCTTGGAACAATACGATGTAGATGGATACAAGCATGTGGTGCATTATAAAAACGCTATAATACAAACACATTGAAAGTATGCTAGGTCTCAGAAGACTAAGCACAAGGGAATATGTCGTTAGGAACCATCCGAGCGGTGTGGTCTATTGTCCAAAGCCGACACTACAAATGTCTATCCTGCATCAATCGTATAAACTCTACCCGACGACAAGTGAAGGGAAAAAGCCGAATTATATTACTGCTGATTACTGCCGTCTCTCCCGTCGTATCTGTATAAAAACTGCAAGCTTCCATCTGTCAAATAGTGCGTTATTGTCGTCTCGCTCTTCCTTCCCCGTTTTGTGATTGGTCCGCAATGTTCATCCATGTGAAAAATCTGACACGGGTTTCCAAGCTGTGGTGCAATTTGAAAATATTTGCCCCCTTTGATTATAATCTTCCGTCATAACAGTAAAGTAAAACAGTATGCGTGTGATTAAACAACCGCCAAATTATTATGTAAGTAAAATAGTATAGTATAGAGTAGTGCTATACTTAATATTCATTTATTTTGTGTTGTGTGCGCCTTATTCCTACTGTTCTGTAACTTGTGATGCAACAATGAAATTTCCCCACTGTGAGATGAATAATTTTAATCTTAATCTTGAAGAGAGTAGTCTGACCAGCCAAACCCTCTACGTTTTTGCCACATGTGAAAGAAGGA